TCGACTATCGAGTTTTATTCGAAAATCGAAATTTTCGAATATTCGACTATCGAACATCATTCGAAAATGGAAGTTTTCGAATCGAATAATATTCGAATATCGAATACCATTCGATATTCGATTTTCGAATATTATTCGGTTTTCGAATAATATTCGATTTTCGAATATCATTCGATTTTCGAATACTATGCGAATAAATTATGTCAGTGAGACTACCTGTGAAAGACCAAAATAGCTTAGAATAAATTTTTTCAGGTATAGACATTTTTTTATGTTTCAATTTACAACGAAAAAACGGTTCAGTTGCAGCCGCGGTAAGAAGATGGGTGCCGGATTGTGGCGATGTTAAAGTAGTCCCCCCACCTAAGCACTAATGTTCGGAGGGAAAAAGGGGGCTACCAGGCCTAAAATTTGCCCCGTAAGTGGCCCGGATCTTACGGTAGGCTCGTGAATACGAGATGCATGCAGGGTAGAGACGCAGAGTCGTTGCGGGACCCTGCACTCATGACTGTGTGTGTGCGCTATGCGTTCTCTGGCCTTGCAGTTCGAATTCGCTGTACGGGCGGCATTTCAGCCGTAAGACGGGTCACTTTGGGAGCAATTTTCAAGCTTACCAGACCTCTTTTTAGCTCCGAACTTCGTCACCGCTTAGGAAGGGGGTCCGATTCAACATCGCCACAAATTTCCGGACCCATTTTTGGGACGCTGCCTTTAAGAACCTAAAAGCGTACGTGATGGTTGTGAAGGAATTTCAAAAATCAAAGAAGATTATTTATCCTCATTGAGAGTTGTGGACTGACATCAGGGGTCCCAACAGTGTGTGAATCTGTGGGCTGACATCGACCTAGACCCACAGTATGAAGCGATGTATCGATCGCTTTTCACTGTTGTAAATTACCGTAGGAAAATTGGGGGGGGGGGTTCTGAAATATCAAGAGCCGTTTGCCCAAGAATGAGAAACAAAATGGCCGATCTTACACTAGGCTTCTAAAGACACTCACTATATAGAAAAATTTGCACTCAACCGTAACGCCTTTTGCAACTTATGCCAGGTACACCATAACAGATGTTTTCCAACGCTTTTCAAAAAAGAGAATACACATTTAAAAGACTTGAAAGGCCGTGCGTAGTTAAACATAAGTGAAATCCTGCTACATAGATTTGAAATCTTTTTTGTTGGGGAAACACTTTTGGATGTCTCATTTCGCAGTTGCTCTATATGCTAAGTTCATACCGTTATAACACAACATGAAAAACATAGGTAATTTGCTTTCTGCTGTATTTGTAAGCTGAAGCCATCCCTACAGGATGTTACTTAAAGGTTGGCAAAAGACTTCGTGGGAGGTATTAGCGATTAAACAGTTTGTACATACTCTTGGGACACCTCGTATATGTTGTGAATATCGAATTTCCGAATATTCGATGCTTCGAATTTTCGAATAGGCAATTCTTATCGAATTTTCGAATATTCGGTGCTCATCGAATATTCGAATATTCCATGGACATCGAATGTTCGAATTAATGACCATCGAATATTCGACTATCGAATAATATTCGAAAGTTGAGAATTTCGAATATTCGACTTTCGAATAATATTCGAAAATGAAAATTTTCGAATATTCGACTGTCGAATATTATTCGAAATCTCAGATTTTCGAATATTCGAATTTTCGAATCATTCGCATTCGAATGATTTATTCGAATAATCGAATAATCATTCGATTCGGTCCAAAGTATACCGTGGGACAAGTTTTGTCGCGCAGAAAAGTTCACTGGACTTGCTTATTAGGCCTTTTGCGCAGTAGAGATTCGTTTTGACGTGAGCTCGGGTTGCACACGGTAGGGCGACCTTCTTGTTCTTGCCTAGCAAAATTGTACAGAATCTCCTGCCTATCCTGCAAAAAAGTCTTGTTCAGGTAAACTGCAAATTCTTTGTTTTTAAAGCAATTCAATTCCTTTTTTGTCTCATATTGATGAGAAAAGCCATCTTATAATCTCCAAAAAATCTGAGCAAAGCGTCCTTTTATAAGAAAAATGAGCAAATGCCGAAAATGCTTCTATTTGTCTTCTAAAAATCCTTTTTTGAAAGCTGAGGAATCAAGGCAGATTAGCTTTTCATAGAAAACAATTAGTCTATTTTGAAGAGAATGATCACCTCTTCTCAATGATATACGCACTGCCGCAAATCGCTTCTGAAAAAAATGAGAGTGAAATTGAAAACCCTACGAACTTATGAAACGACCTAATAGTTTGTTACATAGTATTATATTTGCCTATGGAACACGCAAACTTCTGCTTGACCATCTCTCAATGAGCCTAATATTAGATTCAGTCACAAATTGCGGATACGCATCTCATCCTGGGTGCTGAGATACACTCTCCTTTTAAAGCAAACCTCTGATACCTCATGCTATAATAGGCCGGTCGCTGATTGTTGCTTGAAATGTGCAAAGGAGAGCTATGAAGTTGATGCGCTATGGTGTATGCTGCACTACACCTAAGTAGCGCAGCTTCCTATACAACTTTTGTCTTTTGATGTGGCAGAGTCATTCTTTGATAATAGAGATTATAATGTAGGAATAGAGCCGAGTCTCTTTATAGCGAATTTCGCCATTGGATGTGAGGGTTAGTGTAGGTTTACGGTATAAAGGGAAAAATTCCAGATTGCTTTTGTGGAACTTGATCTAGAGGGTTATCCGACATGCTGATCACAAAAATAACGCCCAATCCGCAGGAAAAAGCCTTTTTGTAGGGTTACGGTATGATTCTTCATCTAAATGAATATGATGTTCCACTCAGCATGTCTTGCCCCATTGTGCAGATCGGCAAATTTTGAGCTTTTGCTGCTTACAAGGGAATGGTCACAAATCGAAGTGGCCATTCCAGACAAGCTGCGTAGCGTCAGATGCAGCATGAAGCGCTGACTCTAAATCTGTCTTCTTTATCTGCTTCTTTTCTGGACGAAGTTATAAGCTATTGAAGACCATTATTTTGCTTAGAAATTATGCGTGAAATTGAAAATTTAGCCGTATAGAGCCTCGTTTGCCTCAATGCTGGGCCAAAACATGCAGCTAGCTTACTTAAAATTTTTGAAGCCAGAAGCCGAGCTAAAAGTGCAAGAATGTGCTCAATTTCGCTGTTTTTGTGTATAATTTTTTCACAATAAAACCGCTTGTAGCTTCGTCCACAGAAGCGGAAAGCAGATAAGGAAGACAGATTCGAAGTCAGCGTTTTATACTGCATCGAATGATATACAGCTTGTTTGATTTGGGCAGCTACAAAATTTGGCCAATTCGACTTTTGACCATTCCCTTGTTAGTTCTAGATGAAGCTTCTCCAAATCTGGCGCATCAATCCTGTTCGACATCCCGAGAAGGTCGGATCTTAATTCGTTCCACCAAGTTTTCTTACAGCGCAATAAGACCTCAACCATCATGGTGCCTGCAATTTCGTTATGTGTTTGATTCAGGTTGTACACCTCTTCATTTTTGCTTGAGAACAGTAAAACTCGATTTTCACTAAGTTTTGAGAAGTGCTTAGTTTCCAATGTGTTATAAAAATCAAGCGATTTTTGCAGCATAGCCTACATCACAATCTACATAATGAGAAAAATAAGAGCGCTGTATAGCGCAAGCTACAAAATTTTGGGAGAATGTGCATTACATGGGTACCAGCTTAGTAAGTGCAAAAATCAAGGAATATGAATGAAACATTTAAAGCTCACATCTGTACGCGCTTGCCTCAACCTTCTATTTCTTAGTCGAGAAGACTGCTGGATGCATGCGAACCGATAACATTTACAGCTTGCTGCGGATCCAGTTATCATATTTGCTTCAATCCTCCCAGTTTATTATGCTATCACTCGGGAGAGCGCAGGGCTTGACTGGCCCAGAGCCGTGGATGAAACTTTGATCACATTGGGTCGCCTTACCAGTACGTCGTTCTTCAGTAAATGCAAAATTTAATTTTGCAAAAACGGTTGGCATACGACTAAAACTTTGCATGTGATCATGGGGTAGAGGAACGAATACCTCAATTAGGCAGCGCCTCCTCTGCTCAGATAATCGCCGGGGGCAAGCGGCCATGCGAATTTTGAGCAAGCGGGCACCGGAAAAATAGTTCGCTGATTTTTTGTGGTCCGCTTGCAGAAATTTGGAATAATTTTGGCCAGTTTTTAGACGAACGCTCGAGATCTATCGCGGTTTTTCTATACATAAGTTGTTGCGGCACAGTGGCCGGATTCTCGCGGATTTTCCGCGAGAACATGCAAAATTATTGAGAGCCGCACGGTCCTTTTTGAAGGACCGCACAGCCCTCAGGTACTTTCCGCTGAAAGAAAGTACCCCAAACTTGGGTAATAAAACCATCGATGGCACCTCTGTCACATAGAGTCTCATCTTTTCTCGGCGTACGCCCGACTCAGACAATCGCCGGGGGCAGGCGGGCACCGGAAAAATAGTTTGCTGTTCTCTCGCACCCCGCTCGCGGATTTTTTGCAAAGCAATTAGGACTTTTCGGAAGACCGCTTGCTAAATTCTCGATTCCTCAGAGATTCAGCAATATATCTGCAAAAAATAAGAGCGAAAAAAATTCAACAGGCGGTCTCTCAAAAATCCGCTGACTCAGCAAGCGGTCTTCCGAAAAGTCCTAATTGCTTTGCAAAAAATCCGCGAGCGGGCTGCGAGAAATCAGCAATCTATTTTTCCGGTGCCCGCCTGCCCCCAGCGAGCCAAACTGCGTAAAAAGAGTCTGAGCGCCTGCTGAAAGTTTGGCCAGCGCTCGCTGAAAGAGATTGTTTGACGAGCGCTTGCAGAAAATTTTGTATTGATGCCCGCTTGCAGAAAATGCAAATACCGCCCGTTGAAGATTTGGCCACGCCCCGAAATCCTGCTGACCGCCTGCAGAAAATTGCGAGTTTGCGGACCGCCTGCCCCCGGCGATTATCTGAGTGCTGGTCACAGGGGATAAAGCATATGTCATATGTCGTATGTCTTTTACAGGCTTACAGGACCTGCCAGGAGGACAACAGCATGATGGCAGACGAGGTAGATTTACGAAATTCCTCTGTTCTCGAGATCTTGGATTTTTTGAGGTGAGCATAATGAGATTCATACAAAACATTATTGCTGATCAGTTCCGCAAATACTGCATAATTCACTGTACTCAGATTGTTAAAGTTTTGAGGAACTGGGCAGCGTACGCTAGGCACGCTGCCAAATCCTGCACCGACACAGTTATGGACAAAGCCCCCATCCAGCATACGCCCACGTACGAGCCCTAACCTGGGAGATGCGGTCTCATATAGCTTTCACGGAAACTAACGGGTTAAATGAAGTAAACCTCTCTATTACATTGCAAGTGTTGACATGCCTGGACTAGAAGCATTTACCTCTCCAAAAATCCCTTCCAAATAAATTGAGTAAGTTTTGCATGCTATACAATGCGTCAAAAGCCCGGAAGCCTAGTACTTCTTTCGAAGAATAAGTAGGGAATTATCTGAAATTAATAGATTTTATCGCACACATATTTCCGTTATTCTGACCCAATTTTCAAAGAAAAAATGTTCTTTTTTTCTTGTGCCATATTTGGCTCCGACTTCACAGCAAGGAGTGTCAACTTTCTGCTACGTGACAAAAAAATTTGACACAGATGGTCACAGATGCTCTCTTAAAGGCAGTGTCCCGGCAGATTTTGCACTTCCACCTTTCTGCATGTTTTAGGCCTTTTCGCCACGTAGAACCCGAATCTGAGCTTTGAACGGGCTGAAAAGGCCGATTTTGGGGCGTTTGCCCAGTTCCAGAAAAGCAGCTCGGACGAGATTTTCTGTGGAAAGTTGGGAGGTCCTCACACGAAGACCCTGCCGCCTGTAATTTTTGCTTTGGATAGCATGCACAATGGGAGAGAGCGGTTGTGAGGTCCCGCGCCGAACGGACAAGGAAGCAGTCCGAGCGCGCGCCGATTGAGGTTGCGCGCGCCGGTTTAAGGGCCATTTTCTCGGCCCAGGGGAACCATCAACCAGCCGAAGTGCGCCTAGAGGGCAGTGGGGTGACCAGGAACCCCACCACGCCTACATCGCCTAGAGCGCGAATCTGCCGGGACACTGCTTTTAACTCACCGGAAATGATTTGAAAAGGAAAAAAATGTTAGACCAAAACGTGTGAAATTTCCTGACAGGCGGTAGGGAGGCAGTCGTCATAGAATATACGAAAAACTGTTCTCAAACTAGATAGCCTATCACTCAGATAATCGCCGGGGGCAAGCGGCCATGCGAATTTTGAGCAAGCGGGCACCGGAATAATAGTTCGCTGATTTTTTGTGGTCCGCTTGCAGAAATTTGGAATAATTTTGGCCAATTTTTAGACGAACGCTCGAAGATCTATCGCGGTTTTTTTATACATAAGTTGCGGCACAATGGCCGCATTCTCGCGGATTTTCCGCGAGAACGTGCAAAATTATTGAGAGCCGCACGGCCCTCAGGTACTTTCCGCTGAGAGAAAGTACCCCAAACTTGGGTAATAAAACCATCGATGGCACCTCTGCCACATAGAGTCTCATCTTTTCTCGGCGTACGCCCGAAACTGCGTAAAAAGAGTCTGAGCGCCTGCTGAAAGTTTGGCCAGCGCTCGCTGAAAGAGATTGTTTGACGAGCGCTTGCAGAAAATTTTGTATTGATGCCCGCTTGCAGAAAACGCAAATACCGCCCGTTGAAGATTTGGCCACGCCCCGAAATCCTGCTGACCGCCTGCAGAAAAGCGCGAGTTTGCGGACCGCCTGCCCCCGGCGATTATCTGAGCATATGAAAGCCTTCCGAAAAAGGGTCCGGATAATGGAAAAGTGCCGATTAATGCAGCTACGACGATGTGTCAGCGCAAATTAAGTAGAGTCGCAGACTTTTGATGCTTATAAAGTAGAAAAACTAGAATCTCTTACAAGAGGTTGGTCAGAAGAATATGGCCATGAGGCCGAATATCACTGAATGGAGCATCTAGCGAGAACTCCGGGCTCACCTTCTAAAACAACTCCATGAAAGATCTTATGTGCAAAGTGCTGTCTGGTAATGCAAGTGCACGTTCGGCCGTGAATGTGAACCGGAACAATCACGTATCGGGGATACTCGTTTACATATTTGGATTGACACTGCCAAGGATCTCTTTTGAATGATATTGCTCACAGCTCTGGAGCGTTTAAAGGCAGCAGCTCGATAGAATGACAACTTTGTGATACCCATTACTCTTGACTCCTTGGATGAGCCGAGTCTGAATCTGTGCTTTGCAGCTTTTAAATATATCAGTAACGGACGTGAAAAGTGGTGTTGGGGCGGGTCAGGCAATGATCCATTTGCTGCCGAGATGGTTACGGTCTCTCTACTCACGAACCAGTCGCGCTCTAGAGGGCAATATAACGCCGTCCGCCCAAATAGCACTTTTCACATGTGGAAAAGCGAGTCATTGATATCTTTCGAAGCTTCAAGCACAGTCTTGAACTTAGCTCGCTCAGGGAAACCGAGATGAATACATAGAGTTGTCTGCCGAGCCGCTGCTTTTGAAAAGATTTGAAGCCAGTGTTCTATGCTGCGCGCGGTAATATGCAGCTCTTAGAAAAAGCCATTTTGTGCTTCCATGCATTCCCTGTTCAAAAAAATATTTCATCTTTAACGATGATCAGGAACCTACTGCTATTCTCACTCAACTTTAGGGAAATAATGAATCCTGTTCCTGAGCGATTTTTTGTGAATGAGCAAAATGTACGGTCTTCTGTGGAAAGCGCTTCTGTTCGCATTGTTTCAAGAAGTGGAACATCACGGCTTCATTTAGCAGTGGTCGAAACAGCGAGTCCAGATTCCCGTTTCGACGATGTATACGCATTGTGCAGAACTACTAGTGAGCGGTCTATCGCCAACCGTAAATGTTTTTAGACGCATGATGTCATTATTTTGTTTGCAGAATATTGTGCAGATATGTACTGTAATCTTCAAGATTACGAGTTTTACGAAATTGCGGCAAATATCACTTTGCCGCCAAACCGCACCAAACTGGATATGGGAGAGGAAGCCAGGTTTGCTTCTAATGTAGAGTCGAATTCTGAATTGCAAGCATCCCTTCCCTAGTCGGTCTTATTTATATCGAGATCAACAGCTTTGTCAGTATTGATGTTTAGAAGAAAAATTGCCCTTGAAATATTAATGCCAAATTCTCAATTCACTGCGCGAAACCAATCTTGACCACATCAGAACTCGAAGCGCACATGACTTTGATGGAAGCGATAGGTTTTTATAAGTCATCAAATTTCTCTGCAACCCCGCTTTATGATTCCTTCATATACGAGATTTGATATAAAGTACCCTACATATCGTGCTGGCACCCGCTTTAGTAGGTGGAGACGTTGGTAATTGCCTTCGTAGCCGATAGTCGCTTTCGTCCGCGATGATAAGCGGAAACTTATTTGTCCGCTTTTTATAGAAAATATTTCTAGCGTATCACCTGTGGGGGAGAGAGGGTTCGAATACTCTTTGTATTTTGAGTGTAGAGGTAGTCATTCAAAAATATTCTTACTCTGTAATGATAATTTCCTTCTGTGTTACTTCTGAGAATTACTTTATTCATCTGCTAACTCACCGTAGCTTAAAATATCAATGTTCATTGCTCACCTTGAAAAAAAAAGTGCCATTTCCCGATCCTTAAAAAAATTTTTTGGAGTGTTATTGCCTGGCTTATGGCAGATCTTTTGAGCTGGTTACATATCCGATAGCTAACATCACTGCGCATCGAGAACACTTCGGACCAGTGCTTTTCCTCTCGTTTCCATCCTAATCTCATCATAAGAGTTGGCAGAATTTCGTATACAGCCTAATAGGTCACCCTAAATGTGAATGCAGAGATATTGCATTCCTTGTTCTGTTGGAAATTTTTGAACGAGGTAGGAGTAAATGGAGTAGGGTGCTTGTGTTAGACATTTGGGTTTCTAAGCTCAGAAGCATTCAGAGTAACTTTTCAAAAACTGGATAAAATCAAGCGCTGCTTCACAGTTTTCACCTTTTTGAAAAACTAAGAATTGTCGATTATGGCACTTTTGCTAGCAAGGACGGATGCCTAAGATGGGAAAAACTTTATTCTAAAACGACCGCACTTTTTTGAAATCCAAGCTTCAGGATGTAGCGCAAAGCATTTTACATCCAATCCTAAAACTAGACGTCATGATGTCATCACCAACTCTTTGTTCACTTAAGTCCTCCTTATTTTACGTTGAGTGCTGTACTGCTCCCGTAACAAGGATAGGATAGCGATCTGTTATGACAATTCTGCATCTACTGGTGGCAGTTCAATTCCTTCTTCTATTACAGCATCTCCTGTGATGACGATGGCGTTCTGAGAGCGATCAACGTGACATGTAGCGAGGAGGGATTGCTACTTCCACATCCTACGTACATGAACTGCAGCCTCAACGGTATTTCGTTTTAACCAAATCGTCTGGTCAGATTCTATTTCGCACTCAATGCCTCAAACACCAGAAGAAATCCCTCATATAGTGCATATTCACTATGAGGACCCATCTAAAAATGTCTTCAAAAAGGTGGTGAACTGATCACAGCGCATGTCGAACGCTGACGTACTGAAGTTAGGGCGCTGGGACAGGAAATGGACTTTTGCGAGACAACTTCGTCTTTGCCACTTCCTATATTTACGACTTCTGACTTGATCGAGCCAGCTGCGTGTGGTAGTTCAATTGAAGCGAGCTTTTTTCGTCAAGAGGGCGGCGATGTTGTTTGCGGCCCTAACAAAGAGGAGAGGGGTTTTGAAATCAATTACTGCGCGGCAAAATTTGGGGGGGGGGGGGCAGAACGGATTTATTTGAAAATTAAAAAATGTATGTGAATTGAAAGTTTTGCCACCTTCGCAGTGGATCGTGGAAGCTGTCACCTTGGGAAAGGTTGGGCACGCTCTTTATTCGCAAAAGTCTCTTATGTGATTTCATACTTTGCTCTTATTCCCACATGTATCTAGCAATCTTATATATAAAGCTGAATGTCTGTTTGTCTGTATGTATGTCTGTCTGTCTGTCTGTCTGTGTGTACGTATGTTCCGAATAGAAAATTCCATTTCTGAACCGATCGGGACCAAACTTGGCACACATACACTTCGGGCCCCGGCGGGTGTCATAGGCTACTTTTCGTCATCGATCGATAAAATCGATAAAAGTAATGCACGGTTTCGAAAACTAATATTGTATTCGTAATCAGCATGCTCGATTACCCCCCTGTGCCAAATCCCAGCCCCCTAGCTCAAATTTTGCAAAAAATTGATAAAATCGACATCGATTGATAACGGAAAGTGGACTGTGACACCCGCCGGGGCCCGAAGTGTATGTGTGCCAAGTTTGGTCCGGATCGGTTCAGAAATGGAATTTTCTATTCGGAACATACGGCGGAGCCGGGTAAGCCAGCTAGTCTTTCAATAAGATATGATTAAGCATGAGTTACGTATGTTAATTAGTGAACGAGAGATCTTAAGGTTTCGAAGACCACTAATTGATGACACGATTCACGGCCAAGCGGATCTTGAGCGGTTGAACACTAGCACACCAACTCGGATAATTAAACCTTATCGGAGAAACAAGTAACAACACCAAAGATACAAATAACAAATAATGTCACTAAATGATAAACTACAAATAGGAACGTTATAATTGAAAAAAGACACAAATATATGAGTAAAATGATGTTAAAGCAAATGGAGTACACTCCTACATGTGAATAACTCTGACTGTGCGCTGTCAGCATCTTATATGCAAGAAACCGCATCATCAAGCCACAGCTGCGCGCGACATCTAGTGATTGCCAAAAACACGAGATTCACAGCTGATGCTAACATCTGCAATTTCTCCAATAGCAAAAACAGTGCGAGCTACTGAACATTACAACAGGAAGCCCGGACTATCGCAGAGGACCCTCTCCTGGGACTTACATCAGGTGCTACGGAGGGAATTAGGTTTTGCCTGGACGTTGCCTTCAACTTTAGTCTTCAACACTGCTTCCCACAAGCCTCTCGTTTTCAGCCCATGCTCTTACACTAGCTCTTCGTAGTATATTATCCGCAGTTTCCAGAACTCAATCGCCTCGAAGCGGGAGAGGTGGAAACAAGCTATTATACCACACTGCAAAAGTCATGCGAAGATTGTCACGGGCTTGGCACAAGCAGATGTCTACCTGTCGAGGGAGGGTACACTTGCATTTGTAAGCCTCATTGGACGGTAAGTTTTAAGTGAAGTTATAGTCTTTCCGCATGAGCTAGTTTAAGTAATGAAATTCTGTTCCTGTCTCAATCAAAATTGAAGAATTGATTGTTGCAGGGCTTCACATGCTGGAAATCGCCCAATCAGTGTCTGCTCCAACAGTTGCAATGTGAACCTGGAGGAAAGTGCGTATCGGAAGTAGACCGGGTGAGAAAGAAATTTATAAGATTATTGGCCATACATCCTCTAATACAATGAATTTATAATCAAAGGATTCTGGGCGAAGAATGAGAGCTACAAATGTAGGGAGAGATTTTTCTGTTTTTTAAGGTGTTTGTTTGAATTGCACCCAAAGCTTGACCACACTTAGAAATGTGAAGGAAGTGCTCACAAATTATGTAAACTTTGTTACCAGATTAAGTTATTTGAAGAAAATTTCTGACATGCAGGCAAAAACAATCCACTGTTTTGCATATTGGAAACATCTGCTGGATGAACAAAAAATCCCAGTCAATTTTTACACGAAATCTCTCGTGAACACACATCTCGATCCAAGATTTTCAACTCAAAAGCCTCTAAGAATGCCCACAAAATCCCATGTCTTGTTGCTTGTCAAGGTGTAATTTTGCGTACAAAAACATAAATACACAATCTCCAACTTGTTAGCTTCATTAATCTAGGGTAATACAGTATACTCAAGTTAGACATTTGTATGAAAGAAATTGAAGGCTTTGAAACCTTGATTTAGAAACTTTTGATTTAGGCTTACTGCTCATGTTATGAAGGTTACGGTGGTTCCAATTGTGAGATTGTCAAAGAAAAGGTATCATTTGCTCAGAATGAGGTTAGTTTGGAATAATCTTCGTATGCTTATTTTTCCATATTATAACCACTTACACGCTCAAGCATTTTGGACTATATTAGAAAATCTTGCAAAATATTAGGTTGAACCAAAAGTTCTGTCGCACCATTTTTAAAAAATCATAATTTCTTTCACTCACGACGATTTTGCGCAATTCAAATTTTCACTGAAAGCGTAAAGCATTTAGTTTCCAACGGTTCCCTGGGACTTTCCAACATGCTCAGATTGCAGAGATAAAAATGAAAAAACAAATCATCCGAAATTCGGAATTTTTAAGCAAAAATTCTGAAAATCTAGAAACTGTGCGATAAAATCCAGAACAGCCATCATCCTAAGTTCTCTTATATTTTATCACTACTGAGTCAAGTATGTGCTGATTGAGCTCTTCTTTTAAAAGTTATGATTTTTTGAAAAAAAATGTCGAAAAATCAATTTCCTAAGAATTCTTAAGAAATCGTTTTTTCGGCTTTTTTTTTTCAAAAAATCATAACTTTTGAATGAAGAGCTCAATCAGCACAAACTTGACTCAGTTAGTAATAAAATAAGAAAACTTAGGATGATGACCGTTCTGGATTTTATCGCACAGTTTCTAGATTTTTAGAATTTTTGCTCAATTCCGAATTGCGGATGATCTCGTTCTTTCATTTTTATCTCTGCAGTCTGAGCATGTTGGAAAGTCTCAGAAAACGTTGGAAACTACGTGCTTTACGCTTTCAGACAAAATTTGAATTGCGCAAAACCGTCGCGAGGAAAAGAAGTTATGATATTTTGAAAATGGTGCGACAGAACTTTCGGTTCAACCTAATATAATGACCTCTTTAATTCTACATTTATTAGATTCTCAGCGGACTTTGAAATTGTAGTCATCTACACCCCCACTAAAGATCCAAAATAAGCTTCTTAATTCTGTTTTGCTCAAATTCAAGCATTTGGTATCTCCTGTACTTCTCCAATGTAAGTGGTTGTTCTGTGTAAGTTGCCGGCATTAAGTACATTTATGCGAGGAGGGTTTGCAACCTGAAACCTTCAAGATTTTTGGCGTGAAATGTATTCAATGCCAGCGACAAGCCTAAAAATCGGAACGGCTATCAGTTGTGTTTAAGTTATAGAATATCAGAGAATGATAAGATTGTGGACAAGCTGCTACCTAAGGTAACATATTGATCCGATTTAACCAGTTTATCGGCGAGAAACGCCAAATAATCTAGCACATTAAAGCACCGTCCACCCTAAGGTCTTGAATTTTGGCAGCTTACGATAGTAGCCTCCATCAGGTCAATGCCCAAGTCGGGCACAAAATGTCGCTTCAAAAGCGAGAAAATTGCTTCGGAGTAGGGAAGAGGCAGGCAGGACCCTGAGTCAGCACTGCCCTCCCCCAGTAATGCCCGCAGATCCGCGCGCACTTATCCAATTCACCGCTCCTCAGAGCCGGCTTGAGGATTCTCCCCAACAGGAATTTCGGGATTTTCGCGTTTGACTTCAAACCCGGAATCAGGGACATGAGAAGACCCGGAATGACTAAAACATGGAGTGCCTCAAATGTAACGTATTTAGATGGTTTGAAACATAACACTCTCAGTTAGTAGACTGGCTTTACTTCTCTACAACTTTTATGCTGAAACTGAAAAATGTGCCAGCACGTATGCTACTACGCGTTGTCCTTAATCGATAACACGTAAAAGCATGTGTTGCGACTTCTATCACAGAATTCCAGACGTAGTTGTAGCAAGCTTACCGTGAGAACATCCGCACCGAATGGCTGCTGGAAGGAAGAAATATGAAGTTTTATCTCGCTCAAAGTAAAAATGTCTGCTTTTGTGTGTTTAGCAGTAGAGCAGACACGTCATGAAGGAAAGACAAGAGGAGGCATCTGCATGCATCCCACAAGGATGTAATTTTATTGCTACGAGCCAATAATAGATGGTTGGATAGCCCAACTCCATTACATGATAGTCCAAATCAGTTCCATTATGATATCATATTTGAAAATTCTTCACCGCGAAAGAGCAAAAGTAAAGTTAAAAGTTTCGCATTCTCTTTTTAGCTTACTAGTGAACACCACTTCTGTGGCATCTGTGTAAATAAAGCTGAATCTGTGTTCTTATGCTTGTCTGTGTGTTTGCGTGTCTGTATGTCTGCACCTATGTTCCGAATAGAGATTTTCTATTTTCAGCAGATTCGGACCATACTTTGCACGCGTACGCTTTAGGGTGGAGCGGGCGCCGTAGGCTACTTTTCGTTATCGATCGAGATCAAATTATTGGTTTTCAAAAAATTTGAGTTACGGGACTGAGTTGGCATAGGGGCTAGTAGGCATGCTGATTACTAATAAAATATTAGTTTTTAGAAGCATCTAGTACTTTCCTCGATTTTATTAATTTTTGGTAAAGCCTGAGCTACGGAGTTGGGAGTTGGCAAGGGGGGGGGGTAAGTGAGCATGTTGATTGCGAATATATTATTGACAGCGCCGGGTTTGCCAGCTAGCTGATAATAAATAATAATCAAAGTTTATGTACGATGGTGTTTTAGAAGTTCTATTAAGTTGTCCGGAAATTAATGTCCATTTTGAATTTCAAACGCAATTAGTCATACACTTCTCATTTCCGAATAGGCTGCAAGGTACCATTCAGTAAAGCAAAGCAAGCTCTAAAGGATGGCGATTTTGTTTTTGCAACAGCTCTCATTAGCCTTGAGTTTCGAGCCAAAAACTAAAATGATTCAGCTGCACGAAAGATTGAGAAAAATCGTAACTTAGTTCATAAAAATCCTACAAAAATTCTAACTTGTTCACGTAAAGACTATCCACATATGACATCTATATAGGCCGTTGCCGTCTTTTTTCACCTTTTAGAAATTAAGAAACGGAAATTTTCGTGCATTTTTCAAAGTGATGCTGTGCAGTCCCCACATGAGTAGTTGTGTACTACAGACCTGTAGCAGTACAAATGTAAATTTTCAGCTTATTACAAGCTTTGGTTCTCGAGAAATATCGAATATGGCTTTCCCTAATCAAGCGGTCCAACGGCAATGGCATATATAGATGCCTTATGTGGATAGTGTTTGCGTGAACAACTTAGAATTCTTGTAGAATTTTTATAAATTGAGTTACGATTTTTCTCAATTTTTCGTGCAGCTGAATCATTTTAGTTTTTGGCTCGAAACTCAAGGTTAATGAGAGCTGTTGCAAAAACAAAAACGCCTTTCTGTGGAGCTTGCTTTGCTCTATCGAATGGTACCTTGCAACCTATTCAGAAATGAGAACTGTATAACTTATTGAGTTGAAATTCAAAACGGACATTATTTTCCAGACAACCTAATCATTCCTATCTTCAAACGAAGTGTTGCGTTGTTTCTATACCTCTAGAATTCTTTGGTTAGGATGGATGGCGACAGTTGTAAATTATTCCTCTCCAAAACATCAAATTGAAATAATAATGCCATAATTCAAATATTTGGTACATACGAATCATTTCAGGAATTACTACTCAGTTGTAAGTTTTTCCGGGTATAAAAGTTTCCGGTTATTCTAAAAATAGTTGTATCTGGGTAAACTCAAGCGTTAATCTCGCATATTTCTTAAATTCATCTGCTATCATTTTGTTATGAATAGTCAGCAACGTTGTTGATTTTATATGTCCTGACTTTTACAAAAGTGAGTAAAAGTTCAAGATAATTTTCTGTTCAAATATTGGCTAAAAAATAGTTCATCCGTTTCTGTTACAACTTCGTTAAAAAATTATCGAGAAAAGATTCAACGTCTCTAAACTATTCTACCTTGAACCAAGTTAACAAGCGTCTGCTCTAGGTAGGAACAGTACTGAAGAGAAAAATATTGTTTTGCCTATTCAAAGCTTGCAAGATTCAAAAAGATGAATAAACCAAGCAAGACAGCAAAAAAAAGCGCTTCCTGATGAAGGGACCCTAAAAGGGCGATGAGTTATCGGAAATGGCGTGAAAGATCGCTGCAGTTTCTTGCTCTTCCGTCGGAAATAGCTCTCACTTTGACAGAAGCTGAAATGTGCCAAGATACGCATGTGGCATCAGTTTAGACAAAGAAATCGCACTAGCCGAAGACTCAACAAAATCACTGTTGCAGGGCAGAGAGATGTCGAGTTACTTAAGCATTAGAAACATAACATTGGAGCTAAAGTCACTGTAAATATTTCAGAGTTTCTTGATAAATGCAGCCAGTGCAGGTGCAGCAGCTATGACGTCTGGTGAGATTTTCGTGATGGCTGTGAAAGGATTGATGAAATTGTATATTCCGAAAGCTGGAAAGGTCGGTGTATTATTATAATATGGCAGTCACTACTTTGATTACAAATACTGTTGAGGACACTCAAGTTTATTACCAAAATTTACGCATGTTTGTACTATCTATCGCTGGCCTGACAGCGCTACTGTTCCACCACCCATCCTTATTTGGTCTATCTCATTTTCACTGTTCTATGTGGTCCTACGTTGTTACAACACTATACTCACTGGGTAATATCAGCAAGGCACATTTATCTTTTGTGTAAAACAGCAATTAGGTATCGGTTTCTTCGCAATGGAAGCTATTAATGTTTGGAGAGTGATACACCTGGAAAGAAAAAACTTTTGGCGCAATGCTTTGGACAGCATTAGTCACGAAATTCCAAGATTATCAGTAAGCAAATAGTAGAGTGATAAGAAAAAGTAAAAAAATCTCTTGCTTGAGGGGCCAACGTTGCTCGTTGGCATCGTACTGGGTGGATTTGTTACGATGATTGCTTGCGACCAGTACTATGAGGTTGGTTCCAGTAAGGAGCTACATCATTGTGATATTTCCGGCTTAAAGGCAGCGTTCAGGCAAATCTGGGCGCATGGGTTTTTGCCCGGAAACTGACGAGGGGTCTTAGCTAAGGCACTGCTCAAACTGCAGAGCAAACATTCATTCATGGCTAAAAATTAAATCCCCAATTGCGCCGCACCAGCGCCGGATAACTTGCGATTAAGTCAGGATGCGTCCCAGCGCGAACGTAGTGTTAAAGTGAGCGAAGCAGTTTCCGAGTTATGGTCAGGGAGCAGGCACAGAGGGTTTGGGAACGGATTTCTCAGCCGTGAATGAATCATTTGCGCTGCCGTTTGGGCAGTGCCCTAGTCACTGCCCTTTCATCAGTTTCCAGGCGAAAAATCCATGCGCCCAAATTTGCCTGAGTACTGCTTTCAAAATCTTGCAGATAGCAACAACATGGAGTTGTCTTGGACAATTTACCACCGAGACTTCAAACTTCTGGTTGCCAGTCGTCCTTGTCAATGCTTGTGCCGCTCTTACAGCTTCTTATTACGCATACATCAGCTTCATTACAATGAAGAACATTCCTCAATATCGAGAGAAAATGAACAATTACCTGAGAGGAGAGGATTTTATGGTGAAGTGGAGCGAAGAAAAGGTACACTAATTACTGCTGTAAATCTCAATCATAGACATTTCTTAGTGCTATCGCAATGCGATATTTCTATTTTTCCAACCTTGGCTAATTCTTCTGAGCTGGCTCAGTCAAGCAATATCGTCTGATTGGATTACAGATCCTAATATTAACATGTAGGCTACGTCTATACGATTATTATCACACATATCTTACAAGAGAAGGATGTTTCTTGCGATACCGCTGTGGAGTTTTGCTCAGTTATGATTGGCGCAAATGAGTTACGTAGTTGCAGTTCCGGTTGAATGGTGTCTATCACCCCGCACTGAATTTACGTTACTATGAGATTTTGAAACAGGTTATCTGGAGTTTCTGATTTTATTGACATCGTTTTAGTTGATTTCGACGTATGCGTAGAACAGTCCTTGTGCTCATATACATGGCGTAAAAATTGCTCACACTCTCAGTCTCTATTTTCAATATCTGAAGATATCCTAATGAGTTGCGTGGGCGAATTCACGTCATGTTGATAGTAAAAGGGAAGCCAGTCGTTAGGAAAGATTGATATGAAGAAAAGCTAGCTAAAGTTTGACGGCAGCACGCTGAGATGCTTTATGCGACTACGTGCGGTCAGGACTACGTGCGGTCATCCTGAGCGGCCGAGATCCTATTAACCCCTTGCAATGCCGGCCACCACTCCGTCCCAGCTCCCAAAAAAAGAAAGCCATCCTCCTCAGTTGTCCCCACCGTCACCCCGCTGATGGATGATGATGCCGTCGAACTTCTACATCAAATTCACGGCATCATCAGTCAAAAGGCCCCGGAAGCTGTGCCGCTCCTGGAAAAGCTTGTGGATAAGTTTCCTTCATTATCGGCTAGATTTGTTGAGTCCGAAAAACGAGAAAGGTCTGTAGTATTCTATGGTATTCTTGAAGGCGACCCTCATCTCCCCGCACTTTCGCGTCAAGAACACACAGAAAAATTCGTTTGTGGTGTTCTCAATTTTTTGGATTCAAATGCCGTCCTTCAGAAATCTATAGGATGGGAAAGCCTAGTTCGGATAAACCAAGGTTGGTAAAATGCACTTTTCCGAATCGATTCTTTTGTCGTGATATGCTGGCAAAATCATCTCGTCTCAGAAACAACTTGACCTACAGCAAAGTTTTTGTACGAAAATTGATGACTCTCGAAGAAAGGCTTCATGAAAAAGAATTGCGCGACACCGTTCGTGATCTCAATGCAAGAAGGTAAGCGCACTTATGTTGTTTATAAAAGTGAAATTGTGAAAGTAGCTGATCTTCCCCCTCGTGGTAATGGTTCAAAAAACTGAAAATACAAAACCCTGTTAGTAAGTGTTGTTTTCTTCTCAACGGTAGAAGTTTGATAAATAAATTGACGCAACTCCACCATCTTCTTTTCGAATCGAAACCTGCACTTGTATTGATTACTGAGTCGTGGCTGACCTCAAATATTTCTGACGGTGAGATATGTGGAGGTCTTCCATACGTATTGATTGGAAAAGATCGATCGGGAAGAAGGGGGGGAGGGGTGTGTGCTCTTATCCACAGTGCCATTCTTTTCAAAGAAGTCACGTTTTCTCTTAAGTGTTTCGTAACAGACCTTGTTTTTTTTGATTGCATATGTCAGAATTCCTGTTTGAATAATTATCGATTCATCCTGGCCTATCGACCGCCTTCGAGCACTGCGGGACAGGATGATCTGCTTGCGTCCTTGATATCTGATCTGGCATCCTCTTGCAAATCAATAGTGGTTTTGGCGGGAGATTTGAATTTGAATATTGACTGGTCCAATAATACTGCTATGAATTCTAGTTCAAGAAAGTTTCTTTCTACTTTTGAGGCATTGAATATGATACAACATGTTCGATTTACCACTCGAGGAGATCGTATATTAGATGTTGTGCTGACAAATACAGAGTCTCTCGCAGACTTCTCGTTACATCCACCTCTGGGTGATTCATGTCATAACATTGTTGGATTTTCTATGTTGATTGCAAATGGAGAGCTGCCTGAGACCTCTTACTTAGGCTTCAAGCATGCCATAGTAGATTAAATCTCTCTTATCCTGTAGTAGTAGATTATTATGTAGTAGATTAAATCTCTCTTATCCTCTCTTGACTGGTTCGAAATTTTCGATTATTTCTTGGATGTAAACGATGTCTACACCCGTTTCCTTTGTGTCTTACGTGCAATCATAAATCAGTATGTGCCAGGTAGGACTCGTAGGCAGGGCGTAGTAGAATATCCCGACCACATTCGGAACCTTTTCGACCAGAGACAGAGAATATTTGAGCAGTCTCAGGATCCACTGCACAGCGTAACTTTTGCAACGTCCTACAGAACCAGAATGCTCTCTAAGACCAAATACATGAAGGAGATCATTTCTTATATCAAGGACAGAACTAAACGGTCGTCCTCTCAACCAGTGCTCATAGGTGAGGATGGATCCTTCTGCAGTGCCGATTTTGAAAAAGCGGAGGCCTTCGCTAGCTTCACAGTACTTTTCCTTCCCACATGAAATGCCATAGCAACCCAACAAAAGTAATAGATGAGAGCTTTCGTTTGCCAATTATCACTCCCGAGATGGTTGCAAAACAAATTAAAGCTCTGAAAACGTCGCAGTCGGTTACCTCGGACGGCATACCGCAGACATTTTACGGAATGTTTCCCACCCATCTTTCCGTTCCCCTAAGCCACATTTTCAACATTTCTCTAATGACAGGGGAAATCCCTAATCCATGGAAAGCTGCAGTTGTTACACCTATCCCAAAAGGGAAGGAGTCTGCAACGGTTAGCAACTACCGCCCGATCAGTATCCTCCTTACATCATTGAAGGTGCTTGAGAGGATCATTAAGAAACATCTGCTTGAATGGTTAGAACACCTAAATCTCATTCCCATAGAACAACATATTCCTAGCAAGATCTTCCACCTGTTCACAGTTGGTAGATTGTTCTTTCCGTTGGAACAAGGCATTGGGTGAAGGGAAAGGGGTGGATGTAGTTTACTTCGATCTTAGCAAAACCTTTGATACCGTTTGTCATGAGTGCCTTGTGGAGAGATTGCGGTGTATAGGCATAGAGGGCACTTTACTGGATTGGTTTCGATCCTATCTTGAGGATAGAAAGATGATAGTGCGTTTCTCTCATGACTTTTCTTTCCCTAGGGAATGCCTTTCGGGCGTTCCACAGGGAGGGATTTTGTCGCCTATACTTTTTCTTATATACACACATGATTTACCTGCTTTTCTCAAAACGGATACGAGGATTTTTGTGCATGCGTACGCGGATGACATCAAAGTCACTGCAGTCTATAGTGAAACAGAAAAAGAAGCAGTTCAGCAGGCTTTGACGAAATCTGTCGAACGTATGTTGCAGTGGACAAATTTTTGGCATCTCAAAGTTTTCGTAAAAGTCAGCATCTCCCCATAGGATCGCTTTCACTGAACGTTTATAACAATGAGCTAGGTGATATGTTAGTGAGCAGAGAAGTTCGTGATCTTGGCGTGCTAGTTGACAATGGTTTGAACTTTGAGAGCAATATTGACGCGGTGGCGGCCAAGGGCTTGAGGGTTTTGCACTGTCTTTTAAGAAATGTTTCGAGTTCTGATCCTTTTCTTTGGATCAAACTTTTCAAAATGTTCGCGTTGCCACTGATTGAATACTGCGGCCCTGTATGGAGTCCTTATCGCTCCAAGGATATTAACAAAGTTGAAAGTGTGCAGAGGACGTTTACCAGAGTACTCTACTACCGAGTCTTTCCGGACCCAAGCTATCCGCAGGGTCTACCCCCCTATAAAGTTCGCCTGCGCGAGTTGAACCTCAAGAGTCTTTTTTACAGAAGGGTAGAATCAGACTTGATTTTAGCCTATAAGATTCTCAAAGGGGAACTTTGTTTGAAGCCCTCAAGCTATTAGGCGTTTCGTCTGGTGTACGGACGGCATGGCGGTTTTGCCTTTCGACTCAAGCTACCGAGCGCACATCGTCTGAGGTGTAGGAGTTCCTTCTTTTTCAGAGTCGCCAAATGGCTGGAACGTTTGCCTACTACTCTTTTATGCCTTAAAAATTCCGCACACTTCAAAATTGCCATCCGAAAAATGGACATTCTATAAGCTCCTGCAAGACGAAGGCGGTCGGTTCGATGTGCAACGCGGCTGCGACATGGCTGCGTCACAGCAGCGTCACAGCCGCGTCACAGCCACGTCGCGCCTCGAACCAACCGCCTTCGTCTTGCAGGAGCTTATACAAGTGCTAGGCATACGTGACGTGGAATGTTGCTGTTCTCATCTTTTTTATCACTCGCTTTTTGTTTTGACTGTATGTTCCCTGCACTGCAGTAACATGAACAGGCTACCTTTTGTATGTTTTCCTAGCTCTCCCGTATCTTTCCAGAGCTTCCCAGCTCCGGGTGTACCTTTCATCAGATAGCTTTTCTCACTTTTCATTACCTCTTCTAGTACCTCCAGTCAGGTTCTCTGAAGTCTTTTTGTTTCGGGTTGTTTCTGGCCGTTGCACTACACTGACGGTAATACTAGTATCTGGGGCGTTGTGTTGTCTTCTTCCGCCACTCCGGTCTGTCATGACGGGTTCTTGGGGGGGAGGGGGGGTTTCGGTGAGCGGCGGTACTGGCAGCCCCCTGCCAGTACACCCGTTTTGGCTTATCTGGCGGGGGCGGCCGGTATGCCGATCGCCGGGCCTCCGCTCTGTCCCCACGACTTGGGATGCTTGATCGGGCTGACGGGCGAAGAGGGAATGAGCTGGTCAACGTTTCTTTTATGTATCACTTTCCTCCAGAGAGTGCAACGTAGGTTGGACAAGATCTGGATGACTTATTCATTTCAATATGATTGTTCCTTTGTTGTTTTTTTGTCTTTCTTTTCATGTTTTCTATTGATTTGTCGTTTTACACCCTGTTCTGATCTGATTTGTTGTATTGAAGCGCGCCTCCTGGCGTACAAAATAAACAAATAAATAAAAAGTATTCGAAAGATGCGACATAGTTCAACCTGCACATATTAGTGTGTCTGCAGCCAGCCACTGCAAGCGACCCTTAAACACCGTCCACCCAAATCCCCGACTTCCATGTTTTTGTGGTTTCGGGGTCTTCTCATGTACCTAATTCCGTATATGATTCGAAAATCCGCGGAAATCCCGACAATCCCCGTTCCGCAGAACCCGTGGAGCGAGTTCTCCGGACGATGTAGGTGGATACGCACGGACGTTTGCCTCTCCCACGCAAAGGGGAGAAGCCAACGTGGAGAGTCCGTCGTCTCAAGTGATTTTTGGAACAAACGATTCCTCGCTTTAAAAGCAACTTTTGTCAGCGCGAGTTGGACAAGTATACAATTGGGGCCCTTCTACTGTTGGGCATCAGAATCTCATCGATCCCTGAGTGGACGATGCCTTTCATGTCGCTTCTAAAAGATTAGCTGGAAGATTCATTGCAGATCTGCACTACCAATGTTTCTGCTCTTACCCACTGCTAATCATGTGCAGTGTCCGCCGAGCGATACACTGGGTTTAGTGCAAAAGTCTCTGTGGGCAGAAGTGCAGTACGCCTTGATTGAGATGGGCCGCAGTTTCGCTTTCGCCCCTCATGACTGGGGGGCGTCATCCGTCGCTGAAGGAACTTTCATTCATGTAGGCTCAGATGGGGAAGTCATGGGGAGGGTTAATTGTTGGATGTGCTTAGCAGTATCACAGTAAATGTAGTCCGAGCTACAAGCAATGCAAAATTAGCCATTAATCTTACCTTTTTTGAAATCGATTTTTGCAAAATATGAGCTAGGGCTGGCTGGGAGTTGACGCAAGGGATATGTGAGCATTCTGTTTAGAAAAGCAACATTGATTTGGAAAAGTATTTATTAGATTTGGCCATTCATATTGGTTTTATTGTTTTTTACAAGCTCTGCTAGATCGATAGAGACCGAACAAAAACAGCTATTTCAGGTAGTATATAATAAAGTAAAGACACATTGTTAGCAGCGGTTAAAACTAATCATCAACTTCCTTCTCTTGTAAGTATCCTTCTGATGTTAATGTACACTGTTTATTATGTATGAATTCATTATAGCCTAGCAAACGTGTTCTCGATTTTGTACAGCGTTTCGAATTTGCTGCAGTCGATCGTCACTGATCCCTATGTAAGCAGTTTTGAGCAAATTATTCCCAGAATTATCATAGCTGGAAATTTTTCTTGGTAGCTGTACAGCTGCTGGATTTGGTGCGCCATGAAGTACCTTCCCGGTAAACTTTCCCCAACGCATGATCCCGTTATGATGTACAAGCAATCGGAAGTACAAGAAATGAATATGATGAATACGAAACAAGGACAATGGAAGACTGATCAGAGACATCCGGTATGACATTTTTGATTTACCGAGCCACTTCAGAGCCTGCTGGATTTCTAAAATTAGGTCACGAGCGACAACATCAAGCTGCTGGTCTGAAATAAACTGAAAGCCTTGTACTGATCTCACAAACTTTATTCAAAAATCTATGAGTAGGAAATATTAGCAATATAACAAATAATTAAACGATATTAGCAATTAAATAAACATTAGCGGAGCTAGACTACATGAAAAAAGCCGCAAATGTCTCGTAGGAACTAAAATTTAACGTGCTCCTCTTTTTCTCTTCGAATGAAGCGTGAATGTGACAGCTACCGAAGGTTCTCCTTATTTTGAGGGTTATCTCCCAGCAATTGTAAGGAATCGCCTGACTACGGCATGGATGCGAAAGTACGCAAAGAAGAAAACGGAAAATAATTGCCACGAAATCGAAGCTCGCTTCGTAAGTGTTGACATCAAACTAAAAACCTCATTCTTAGTGTAAACACCAATTCTGTGACCGCATTCATCAACGAACCCAGGAGATTCCGGAACCCACTGGGTAAGCTCAACCCACGAGATCGATATTCACGAAGCTAGTGGGTTCGCGAACCCAGCAGTGCTTTTCATGAATATCGATCCAACCCAGTGACACTGTTTTCCCTTACCCACTGGATTGTGGAACTCACTGGGTTCGTTGATGAATACGGCCACTGAACCGATGTTTACTGTTATCGCTAACACTGAAAAATGCAGGCTGTCTACATTGAAGAGGCGGACAGAGGACAATATCAGATGTACCCTGCAACCGTCAGCGAGCAGATTAGGTATCTCTAACAATTATCATATAAGCTGAACGAAAAGCCCTTTCGCTTATGCATTTCAATTTCGATCGTCTAACTTCTCCATGTTGAGTTTCTCTTCCTCCTTAGCAGCTTTGACTCACGCTGCCCGGAGTGAAAACAGAAAAAATAATGAAAAAAAGCCATAATGCGAAATTCTGCTCTTCCTTTGCTCACAAATCCGTATGCGAGCTTGAGAGGAATGTGTGTCGATAATGGGTTTTGCTAAGTCTTCTTGTCAAAGCCAAGAATTTGTAATGGACTGGTCTTCGCGCCTCTAAAAGTTGGCTCGCATTTTTTTTTGTCTCGGCTGCAACCCTCGCTGCAACGTTTATAAGGACTGAATAAGAATCTCTTCTTTCGTCATGCTTACAGCAGAATCGATAACTTATAGAACGCTGTGCTTGAAATGGATGCTGCGGACAAAAAGAAGAGATCCTCAGGCAGATTATATCAAAACAAAACCAGGCAAAGAGGTGAGTATGCAAAAAACCTTATATAGCCAACTTGCGACCTTCAGCTGTTTTGTCTGCTTGGACAAATCTCTCAAGTGATCAACAACACAAAAGTGCTGCGCCCTAGAATGCGGGTAGTTTCTTCAAGCTGTGACTGTATCACTGTGAGTCAACATATAGAGTTTACCGTTTATGTTATGATTTGCTATACTGGATTTACATGACTCGACAACCCTTTTATAAGTTAAAATTCTTCAACAAAAATCAACAAAAGCTACTTTGAGCTACGTTCATAAATTGAAAAGGTAGCACAAATTAGCTTAAAAAACTCGCAACATTCGGGTTATCTGTATCTGGATCAAATCAAAGGGGTCTAACAAGGAAATGGTCGGAAGACGGAGCAGCCATTTTCAACAAGCTGCATAACATTAAAACCTTTGCGGTGGGACTAAAAATTATCTGTCTCCTTATCTGCTAAGGATTCCAGATATTTTACTTCTGCTTAATATAGATAGATATAGATAGATATATAGCTCTAGATATCTTCTACTAAAATTAGGAACGTAGCTTCAGAAAAAAGTTATCGAATTTAGATTGCAAAAAGTACGCAGGCGGACTACAGGGCCCGTAGTAATCCACCCTACCAGGTGGCATCAAAGATGCCGGCATGTTCGCGAACCTCGCGGCATGTTCGTGTTTCGGGCGCAAGCTAAATCTTGCCTTAGATTCTCGTTTTTCGTTAGTTTTTCTCTTTTTTGTATTTCTCGAGCTTGACGTCTTATTCGCCTTGATCGTTCGTAGGTTCTGATAATTTCAAATATCCTTACTCCACAGTCATATGCACATAATATTTTGATGACGCTGATAGCCGCAAAATATTTGCATCGCCCGCGTTCGCACCTGCATGCGTCAACCTAACGCCGCCGCACTAACCATTCGACTATTCGTTCAATTTTTGTTGTCTGCGGCACCAGTGATATAAACGCTGCCTGAGTGGCGCCTGTATGAGAGCATGATCAATACAGTGCGTGATAGACGCTGACCTGAAAAAAAAAACAGCTGATTGATAAGAGCGAGCGAGAGACGAAATCGTTGCAAATGACATTTAAAGCAATTGCAAATTGAAAATGTCGTTCTTTATGGTTCCATAATATCACTAGACTTTGGATGAGAAAAGCCCATATAATGTCAAAAACGATAGTTTTTCGGTGGAAAGTAGATTTTTTTGATTCTTTTGCTGGACTTGTGTATTCCGCGCGACGCAATTTCACAGACGCCGTCGGCAAAGGTGCCGGCATGTGGACGTGGTAGGGGCACGTCCACATGCCGGCAGGTCGCACTCCACAAACTGCACACTATTTCCAGCACTCTCTGACCTGCCGGCAGGCTGCGAGCTAGATGGCATCTCAAATTTCGACAAAAATAGATCGTGAACCTGCCGGCAGGTTCACAATTCGGCCCAAATAAATGGCAAACGAGGACATTTTTTTGATTTCCTTTCAATTCCCATACTTTTTCGACAGCAAAACTGGACCGTAACACAAAAAAATAGATCATCAGCCTGGCTTGGGAGTCCCCGGAGGCAGTTTGAGATTTTAGGGACCTCAAGTCCACATCAGGGCGACCTCAGGGCATGAGATGCCGGCAGGTAGGGTGGATTACTACGGGCCCAGAGCTCTAAGTTTTTGCAGCTTGCTGGAATTGGCCACTTCTGCTTTTGACCAGTCGACCTTTTGCTAGTGTACAACAATTACAGGGGATCTTGGAGGAGTACGAAAGACTGTTCACTGACAATCCATTTCAAGCTTGTACTTTGTCACAAGTAGGACCCCACGGAAATCCGAAACTCATGAGATATTCGCTATCACCTGTTGATATGGCACAAATTGAGGTAAATTCATACTCACGACGTCAAGATGTTGTAAGAAAATGGTTCTAGGCTAGAAACACTCTATCTGCTGATGAAGATCAAAATTCGCGTGAACCTTCCAGTTTAAGGTCAGCTTATGTTAAAAGTATGTTTGACATGGATTATGGAGAGGGCTCGGCACGAGGTGGCTTACAAGCAAGCTGAATATCGTTTTTGGGACGAAAAGCAAAGGGGGTTTCGTTTTTGTGATCGAAGAGACACGGAAAATTGGCGACGGCGACCTTTTTTTTAGTCGACGTTTCGTTTTTTGGGGGATTTTGGGGAATTTTTCAGTTTTAGAGGAAATTTGGTTGAGGGTCAAAGGGGACTTCGTAAAAATTCCCAAAAGTCAAGGGGGATCGTTTTTTCCATTTTCATCTAGCCACCTCGTGCCGAGGCCTGATTATGGAAACATAAAAGTAGATCTCTTACTGCAGAGACGTTGTAATAAAACTTTTTTTGGACTATACATACAGTGTTTATTTTTAGTAAGGAAGTGGATCGCTTTTGGATGTTGAGCAAAGAAGAAAAAACTCTATTGCGAATAAAGGTAAGTTCTGGATTGCGATCAATATGAACAACTATTTTTTTTAGAAGCAGAACGAAGTGGTTTGGGAGATGGCCAAACAGAACAGCGACTTCTTAGCGCAGTCTATGGCACTATAGTTAGCTACAAGCAGTGTCACATTCTTTTTCATTCTATTGTGCAGTAGGCTTTATGTGTGTTTCTTTCCTGTGTAGGCTAGAAAAGTTTTCCTCAACAAAAACTTCAAGCAAACACCTGGGATAGTTTAATAAATCATTAGTTTGGAGTGCTCTCTTTTGATTCTTTGCGAACAAAAGGTGAAATTTGAAAGCGTACTCGATTAGATATCGCAAACAGTTTAATTCAATAAAAATATACAGGATGTCCCCAAAAAATGTGCCTACTGCTTGATTGCTAATAACTCTCTCATCGTGAAATCTTTCGGGAAGGATTAGGTTCCATTTTGTAGAGCTGGCTTAAACTTAGATTCACAGTATAGAGTAAATCACCAATCTTCCTTCTCTACTGTAATACTGCGGTAGGAACTTGCAGCATAGGGGGCCACTGTGAAATAGGCCATTCATAAAAAAAATTTTTTTTGAAAATTTGAAAATTTTTTGTAGCAAGCTTTATACGCATGCTGATTTTACTGCATAACTTTTTGCGTTTTCGCAAAGTTCGAGTGGCTTAATCATATCTTCGACAAATACAAAAATTTGCCGTTACGTTATTTATACCTGGCATAAAATACGAAAAAAAAGCATTAGATGAAGTGCGAGTTTCATAACTGGAATCGCCGACCTCGATCAACCTAATTAAAAGCTTTCAACTTTTTGTCCCTTTTTAGAGGTAAACATGACCCTCAATGACGCGAAGCCCTCTTCAAAGTTCCTACAGCAATCTTACAGTAACGAAGAGAGGTCGGTGATTTGTTTTATGCTCCAAATTTGAGTTGAAGCCAGTTCTACAAAATGGTAGCTGATGCTTCTCAAAGACTCATTGATAGGAGAGTTATTGACAATCAAACAGTAGACACATTTTTGGGTCACCCCGTATTATCTGGTTAAGGAGATCCAGTTCGTTCAATTTTGTTCAGCCTAGGAGTAGTTCAAGTAAGCGGCAGAAGTTTGGGGAGTCAAACAACAATTTAAGGATGCTTACCAAACTTATAGAATTATTTGACGGTTTACTTGCACTGGTCTGTTCTTTGGATCTGCTCTTGACAAAGTAACCGCTTAAAGTCACCTTGATGACATTGTAGCTTTAGGAATGAATATCTTTCTTTATCTCTACATTGACAAACGTAATCTGAATCATCTCCACTTTAATGAGCATAATCCGAAATGGCCTCATATGGCTTAAAGATTATCTCGTAAGTAATTGTTATTGTACATGGCCACTCGTCCGCAGTATAAATTTCTTTTCATTGACGCTATTCAGAAGATTGATGATTTAGATGTTTTTGTGTGTTGGTACAAATGATGACTTGTAAGACAACAAAATTTGGATAATAATACAAAGTTTCAAAATTTCTGCGAAATGGCAAAAGTACAGTATGAAAGCGTAACATACGGAGATGTTCTCTTTAGGCGCTGAGTGGTTCAGTTTTACGGTGCTTACTCCATAACTTACTTGTCCGATATAAGTAACAAAATAGCTGCATCAACTCCATTGCGTGGGAGAAGGAAAACTGTCACTTACTCACACATGAACGTTTATTGAGAACTCTGGAGGATAGATAAAACGATTTTCGTCGGCAAAACCACAATAGGCTTCGGTCTTTTCAGACAGCTGCATCGGCGTTACCATGCAGCATATATCATCCAGGCTAGCATAGCTTTTCAATCCCTAAACTGTCACATTATTCATTTTTCAGTAAATGTGATTTTGATGTATCCATCATAGATCTTTATGGTTATTTCTTGGTCGCCCGTCGCCTAGGATATATCCAAGCAAGCATTCATCCAAGCTTTCATTTCATGTACAGCTCGACCCGAAAACGCACAGCTGTACAGTAATTCTCTCCAGCCGTTATATCGTAAGTGCTTTAAATTGTGTTACTTACTCGTCACTCCTATGGTCCACTGTCACAGCCTAAGGTAAGCAAAATTAGCAGAAAAGGTCTAATTACACAGCTGGCCTACACTTCAAAGCCAGCATCCAATTGAATTGGCAACTGAAAATTCCTTTCTTTTGGGTCTCACTGGAAAGCTATACTCGATTGCTGACTTCACAGCGGTTAAAACGATCGAAAACGGAACGTATTTCACACCTCTGGAAAAAAAAGCCCAGGCGAAAATTGTTACAACTGTCAAAAAATAAAGTGTAGAATGCAGAGCTGCCCTATAGCAACTTGCAACTCTTTGGTCATCATAAGTGGGTGTAAGTGGGTGCTACTCATTTCCGAAAACGGCGGGGTCATCATCTTTGTTTGACTGCTGCTTCTTGCACTTATATGAATCTGTTAGCGCCCCTATAAAGTGGTTTCTATCTATACTTTTATAGAATAATAGTTCATGCTTAATTTTTTCACATTTTTGTACTAATGACTTTCATGCTTTGATCTGTTGCAGATCTGATAGCTTCAATCCTTAGGTTCGCATTCAAGCTTACGGATGCAAGCCAGCGCCTATTTCATCGTAACATCAACTTTTTTTGCGACAGCATGTGTGGTAGTGTCCAACACATTTCCAGGTGCGTTTTTAATATCAAGCACCAGTTCCTGACATCATCACATTTACAAGGGAAAGAAGGTTGGTCGAAGTGGCCATTTAAGATGAAATGTACACTATCTTGTAGAGTTTGGAACTCTGGTCCATATCTACCTTTGCTATCTGCTGCGGGCTTCTGGGCGAGGCTATGAAGGTTTCTGTGGGTAAATATTTGAATGTAACATTGATGTTAAAATCGAACGTGACCTTTTCTTAACGTTCAAATGAGGCAGCAGCGAGTTGGTATATTTGACACAAGATTATTTATTGCACCAAGCGACTCGACTAACAGTTTAGCTTTAGAAAAAATGTTACGAGTGATTTTATACAAATCTCGCACTTGACTTTTTACTCACAAAACCTTCGTAACTCTTCATTCAAAAGCCCGCAGCAGATAGCGAGAACAGATTTGGAATCAGCGTTGCAAGCTTTCAAGATAGTTTATAATTAATTCTAAAGGCCACTTCGACCAACCTTCCTTCCCTTGTTGGAGTCACACGAAAAATTCGTGTTGTGAAAAAATAAGATTTTTTTCTAAAAACTTGAAAACATTAATATTAGTTACACTAACGGTACTTCAATAGAGAACGTCTTTTGAACCCTCATAAAAATATCGAACGGAGTTGTGCCAGAGTCTTCATGTTTGCTATCCAAATGGCTCATTTGCTTACAAGCTTTTACAAGTAAAGAATTTTATTGGTAGGATGAGAGCAAACATTCACAACTGTTGTACCGCCTATCTTGATGCTAAATGTGTAGTTTATGGTAAACTTTGACTTGCTAAAGCATACGCGGATCGTCAGTTTTTGCGGTTTCTGTCGATGGGCGCTGTATCTATATCTACTTATTGATGTCCGAACACCACGCTTAGTTCCAGAAAATCCGCAGATAGCTATTTTAGCTTGGGGCTTAACTCGCAACAGCATCTGTATAAATATACTCAACGTGCAGGGACTATGCAGGTGTCCTACTTTTCTTCTTTCAGAGTTTGGGTTACCGTAGTCAAAACTGCAAGTTTGCTGTCTATTAATACTAACAATGGAGGTCGGATCAGTCGAAGTGGCCTTTCCAAATGGGTCATATACTATTTTGAAGAGCGTTAAACGCTGATTTCGAATCTGTCTTCATTACATGCAGAGCGCCTCTGGACGCCGAGTTATGGGCGTTCTTTGGGTTGAAAAATTGAATGCTTGATTAGAGCAGAAATCGTCAGAATTGCTTAAATGGTTTAATGTTGATTATCAGAGCACTCCATTTCAAAGGATAACTTCTGTCCAGAACACTCATACTACATGTTGCTTTATTTAGGCGCTGAAAAGTTCGCAATAGTTGATTTTACTTGAATCCTGCGTTCATTTTTCGCTCCAAAAACATTTATAACTCGGCATGCAGAGGCGCTCGGCAGATAATAAAATCAGATTTGGAATCAGCGTTTAACGCTCTTCAAAATGGTATATGAATCACTCGGAAAAGCCACTTCGACTAATTGGACTTCCCTTGTAAGTGATATTCCAATATGTTCTATTGTTGTTGTAAAGTATGCATTCTCGTTTTCCAAAAAGAGAAATTTTTGAGGAATGCTGTGTTTTAGTTGATGTAGAAAATAATGTCCGTGCGGCACATGATCATGCCGCTGCTCGTTGATTTTTATTATAAGTGTCTCGCAACACTTGTTTTATAAAGGTGAATAAGCGAATGTCACGACAGAGTACCTTGAGAATTAGATATATAGAGTTGTCAAGTGATCAAGGTTGGTTTGTAAGCAATTTATGCATAAAAGTTTTCAAATTTGTTCCCATGACTGAATCCTGACTTCAGATCTTTCTGCCGATAACGAATCTACATCAGCTAACAACCGTAACATCAGCCAAGGCCGAGAAGCTCAAAGCGAGTCAAGTAATGAGTGCTTCAAAATTACGAAATCGCTGGAGATGTTTTCACTATTCAAAAACACTAGAAGACACCCAAACGTGAAAAAGTTGTTTCTTTGCGATGGCGACGTTCGTGATGACATTATGGCTCAAATGAAAAACTCAAACAAGAAGTGTGAAAACGAGTCCTGCAGTGATATAACCTACGTTGGTGTGTGTCCCTGCCGCAACGCTTCTAAGTGTAAAGGAAGTAATGATTTTGAAAAAACAGCATGTCTATCCACAAACCTATTTGAAATTTTGGCTACAAGCAATGAGATGCAGATGCCTACCACATCTGACAATGTCAACTTCAATATAACGACAGATTCTAAGTTTGAAGAATATGATTTGGTGGATCCATCAGATTATGATCAACCAGGTAAGCCGTTCGAACCTCTGCCTAATACAACAGCTCGTAGAGCAGCACCTGATACAACTTCCATCGCTCCTAATCTCCACTCAAGTCCGATAGCCACCGAAACTTCTAACAAGCCAATTTCAATGAACGACACAGATGTGCCTGAAAATCGACCGGTCGAATATACGAGAACTCCTATCCAGGAATCTACTGCCACAAAAGAAACCACCACCTTGAGTTCTTGCTTCTCGTACAGTATGGCTACGACTGTATCTAGCGCGGCTGATTATGCTGAATCGAGAAGTACTACTGCAAGTACCAAATTTGTCGCTACAGAAGAACTATTACAAACAACTTCGGACGCTATGGCTTCTACAACTAGCAGGAGTATCCGTTCATCACAATCCAAAACATCCTTGAAAAGAACAAAATCGCCGCAGTCGACAAAACATCTTCCAGGTTCGATTATGGCAGCATCTACGCACAGTGTTACGGTTTCGGGAAACTATGGAAGCGAGAAAACTTCCGTAAGCGAAAGCTTGACGAGAAGAATTATTCCGCAAACGCTTGATCGATCCACATATCTTCCTACAAGTACTTCTATGTCACCATCGCCGACTGCGAAGAACCAGCAAATGACGAAAGAACTGGACATAAGCGGTACACAACGTAGCACCTTGAGTCTTGGATCAAAATCAAGCATATTTGCTGTAAAGCATACCGCGAAGAAGAGTACAAAACAAAACACATCCAAAAAGCACACATCCCAGCTTCCATCCACTTCAAATGAAACTGAGAGATTGGATACATCGCCTTTTTCGAAAAGTGATTTTGATGACCCTGGTCATGCTTCATCTCCAATGAGCAGCACTCAGCAAATCATATCGGAGTCAACAACGTTACCGGAAGATGCTTCTACGACTTCTAATATAATAATCCCACAAAATACTTGGACTATCAGCCCGTCTTCGAGCACCGCAACAGTACCTTCGGATTTTCCAGCATCGCAAAGCTCAGCGGCGACATCAGACGAGACAATCGACTTCATTTCCTCAAAATCAACAAGAACTATCAAGCATACGAAACCTATACCTTCAACAGACGCAAATGGAATGTCTTCAGTATCTTCGACAAAAGTAATATCTATCAAAAGTAAACCAACTAATGTTATGTCTACGTTGCGAGTATCTGCACGAGAACCTTTGATTACTGAAAGCCCTGCTTCTTTCATAAGTACTACAGCCTGGTACCAACCACTAGAAAAGAAAAGTAGTACAACGGACTCTCGATCTGATGAAACATCTGAACATGTTAGTACATCGGCAGAAAAGTCCTTACCATTAGTGCCTACTGCTTCGCCTTCTACGGTCATAACCACCGATTCACATAGCATTAGTAGTATGACAGAAGGAGCTACAGAAATGACGAATTTCCAAGATACGCAAACATTTACTACCAAGCAACTCAGGGATACCTCGGAAAGCGTTGTAAATCCGGGCTACACTTCATCAAACCTTGCAACTTCGCTCCAATTAATAAAAGAAGAGTCAACGAGTGTTTATGCGACCGACACGAAAACAAAGGCTAGAAAAGTTTTGAGCACGATGGAATCGACAAAACCAAATTCCTCACGCATGACAACACCGAAGTTCGCTGATGACATCACTTCGCTTTCAGAGCCCTCTGAGGAAGTGACAGAAAGTGAAACTGCTTCTATCGCTACAACAACAAAAGATAAATCTGCCAGCACTTCTATGGCTCATCATAAAATTTTGGGAGCAACTTCCATTTTTGCAGCAAATTCAACAATTTTGACTCAGTCATCAACGAAAGTTGTTTCTAACGTTTCGGAAACTTCGCGCACAGTGTCGATCGCTGTCCAAAATGAAACCGTTACGAAGACTGACACTTACACAATTTCCTTAACAAAAACTGAATCATCCAATACATCAAGCCAACACGCCACTACGACTCTACCTTCCACAACCTTGACCATGAAGCTTTTCACAGCCTTAACCACAAACACGGTGGAACCTTCGACGATTAGAGCACAGCCTGACCTTGTTTCTAGTCTGTCCACTATATCAGACTCACCACAGCCTGAAAAGAAGAGGGAGACCATTTCTGCGAACCGAAACACAGTTCAAGTCAGTGCCGACAAACTTTTGTCTACAACGACTAAAAATCTGACGACAACTTTTGTATCAACTTCACCTGCAAAAGAAACCCGACCCATCAGTACATCAACGGATGGTATTGAATCAAGTCAGCATGTAGAATTGCATGAGCACGAGCAAACTTCGAGCAGGGCAACGCAGCCTCCTACACATTTGGAGATTACCACGTTTGACCTACACATGATCACTGAGTCGGAGCAGATGATTCCAGAAACTGTCCCAGAACAAAGCACTTCCTCAGCAAATGAAAAAGGCTTCCTTATAACAAGTAGTACGAGAGGGCTGACTACAGCGGACACCGTCAGAGGAAGAAGTACAAGCAAAGAGAAAGACAAAAACGAAACTGCAATGAAAACTTCTACACCAATCGAAGCTCCTACAACTAAGCCATTGTTGACTACCACAGTGCTGGGGATGGATACCACTCCTACGAGTTCTGAGACCAAAGGTCTTTCTTCTACTAGCATGAGGGCCGTCATCACGTCCGAAAATGGAAGCAGCGACATAGTTTACAAAGATGACGACGACAGCTTTCCACCAACACAAAGAGTACCTACAAGGGAAACCTTGATTGATGCGACACCTTCTATATTCCTAGAAAACACCACACTTGAACCACAAACTTCGCAGTACTGGTATAAGCTATCTCCGAAGGAAGGAAGCAGTACTGGTACCACAGTGCTGGGGGTAGATACCACTCCTACAAGTTCTGAGACCAAAGGTCTTTCTTCTACTAGCATAAGGGCCGTCATCACGTCCGAAAATGGAAGCAGCGACATAGTTTACAAAGATGACAACGACAGCTTTCCACCAACACAAAGAGTACCTACAAGGAGAACCTTGATTGATGCGACACCTTCTATATCCCTAGAAAACACCACACTTGAACCACAAACTTCGCAGTACTGGTATAAGCTATCTCCGAAGGAAGGAAGCAGAACTGGTTTTCCTACCTTTAGGTCAACTCTTGGAAGCACAACCTCTAAGTACTCTTCGCCCGCTATCACATGGCCCCTTCGTCAATCAACAACGCCAAGTAAAGCAAAGAGCGATAGGTTCAACAAATCTGCCCTCTTTACTGATGAACACGGCGCTTCTTCATCGCCTGAGGAATCTCAATCTACAGTAGAGCCGTCAACTTACGAAGAATTTCTGCTAACAGATGAACACACTACGTTGAAGCAGTGGACAACCTCTACGAAAGTGACGACAAGTAAGTCTTGTTGTCTCATCAAATTAAAGGATTTGGTCAGTTCACACAATTTCTCGCGCACGTAATTTGATACTCTTTCGCGCGGTATAGGGCATATCAGTCCTAATGTTTTCCAAACATGTGGTAAGTTTGTGAAAATTCGCTATAATTAGGTTGGTGCCAAAGCAAAGGCCGTTTTTTCAAGCAGTGTTTTTCCGAGCGTATTTCAGTGGGCAGCCAAAGCTCGCGCAATCCTTTATAACATCTTTGAAGCGATTAGCAGAAACGGAATTCAAATCCGGAATCAGCGTTCCAAGACGAGTGTAATGGTATACAACTCATCTCAAAAGACCACGGACACCGAGTATCGTTTTTTTGCCAGATTAATGCTGTCCTGAATTTGAGAATCCCTTATACTTCGCCCTCATTGATACGAGACCATTCAAGCAAAAACCCTTCTCGAAAGAAAAAATACGCAAAACATTTTCAAAAATAATCGGGTATTTTTTGACACTTTATTAGGCCTACTCGATGTGCTTCTAGCATATTTTCATATTACTTCGAATCGATGCACGTGTTTATGGTTTTTCAACTTTTCCAAGCCACCACTGATCGTGTCAGGATTGTAAAATGGCAACAACTACAAATATTGGGATGGAAACTTTTTGCCTCACTAAATAATCTTGCTCTCGTTTAGTATGGAGCGCTTAAATTTTGCCAGTATGAAGGCTATGACGGAAGCTGCAAGCATAGCTGTCGTTCCGCCAAATTCTGACGTCGCAATGGGGATTACGGCAGTATATGGTATAAAGGAGAAAACTATAAATCATTACGGACTTGACTGAAACTCATCGTAGGGGGTTATTCGACATGCAAATCACGGATAACACACTGAATTTGCATGTGAGAGCTTTTTTGTAAGATTAGTGTAGCTTTACGGTATGGAGTCTCACCCAGAGCAATTGAAGAGACGCTGATTCAACAGACGAATATGATATTTGTGTTTAGCAGGTCGAATAACCTTAATATGTAGTCTCTGCGGATTATAACATTTCCACTCCTTTTAGGCCCGTACCACGTACATCCCCGCTGGGGAGGGGAGGGGATCTGAGAGGGGATGCGTTATATCTCGCTACTCTACGTATCTCTCTTCTTCTTCCTCTATCTTGCTTATGAAGTTTTTCATACACTTATACCTGCTTATAATGTCTGCCAGGTTACCTCTATACAAGATTGGTTTCTTGCCATTTTGTGTGATCCTCAGGGAGTCCCCTAAGGATCACCTTTCATCTTCAAAGTGATTTATATTCCTGAGAATTCGTTGAAAAAGCTGTAAAATTGTATTGAGGATATATTACGGAACTGCTAAGCATATTTTCGCAGAAGAAATGAATTCTGAAGATTGTGAATCTTTCGATGATCCCTGGCTCGCGAGCTAGGGATTACCGAAGATTTCGATATCCTGAGATTTCACTTACTTCTACTATAATCACCTTTAGCAGTGCCGTAGTATATCCACATTACAATTTTACCTCGTTTTCATTGAGTTTTTAGAAAGATAAATGGCATTGAAATTGAGAGGTGATCCCACAGGGATCCCCTGGGGATCCCCAGAGGATTACACAAAATAGTAAAAATCTACTCAATCACGCCAGTAACCTGGCATCCAATTATGCGTAGGCATAAGGGTATGAGAATCTTCATAAGCAAGGTTAAAAAGGAAGAAGAAAGATACGTAAAGTAGCAAGATATGACGGATCCCCTCTCAGATCCCCTCCCCTCCCAGCGGGGATGTACGTGTATACGGGTCTTAGTCATTGATGGTTGTCTCCACCAGCCTTGCAAATTTCGACTTCTTGAGGGCGCTAAATATCGACTTGTCTTCATTCTACTGGTTTCCTACTATGCCAAGTGAGTCATCTCAAGCAATAATTCGCGCACAGTTTCAGATCATTATGCATGATTTGCGTCGCGGACGGCTTCATTTTTGCTCATAAATTCATAAATCCTCGAAAACTATTTTTGGAAAAATTCTTGTAATTTCGTTTTCCAAAAACTAAACAGTTTGTGCACAATTGTAGCACATCTAGGGATCTACGTATAGCCAAAGTTTGAGTGCGCCTTTTTCAAAGAGAGTAAAATTATGAAAGCAGTTGCAAAACTTAGTTTCCAACCTAATAAATGTAATCAGATCTGAAGAAAAATTTGCAAATAACACTTTCTTTCGATAGTTTTGTGAACGTGTTTGCTATAGAAGTAAGTTATGCAAACTCTTATTGTCGTTATTCTTTGATTCACTATGATGTTTTAGGCTCACTACGAGAATGCCAGAGCTCTTGCTCTTCAAAGTATCAGGAAGGACCGTATTTCTGTTACCGCATTCTCTCAGCAAAGGAATCCACAACGTATAGAAGGGTATCCATTGTTTAATTAGAAACCGCTAAGCTTCTAGGGATAAGATTATAAGAAGAGTTGAAATTCGAAATTTCAACTATAAAGGGTGTCCCAAAAACTGTGCACAACACAGTTTGATAATTAATAGTTCTCTCGCTCCAATGTCTTTTGTCGTCCTTTAGGTACTTTTGGTAGAGCTATCAACTTAGAGTAGTATAAAGCAAATCTTCCATATTTCTTTTTTATTGTAAGGTATAGAATCTTTGAAGAACGGATCTTTCAGGTTGTTACCAAGTTCGTTTGGTTCCTTGGTTTACATGGAATAGCTTTCGGAACAAGCATGAACTGATGTGTACATATCATATTAGTAATCAGCAGCTTTGATTAGCCTAGTATAAGAGTATTTGGCTTGTTTGGTTCCTTGTGAAGCAAACCCTCGTCAAAGCTCCTACCGTAATCCTACGGACAGAAATAGAAGATTCGCTGCATACTGTAAATCTAAGTTGAAGCCAGCTCTATTGATTGGTACTTGAAATTCTGCAAAGGTTTTATAGCAGGAGGATTATTGACGACCATACAATGTGCATATTTTTGACACCCTTTATAACAGAGTGATCAAAAGGATCACAGATGTAATCATCAGGATCAATCGTGGGGTGGTTAGCGACATGATGCCAGTCAACAATGTCTGAAGGCCCATTGTGCAAGATACCAGCACTGATTTTGGCCTGTACCGTCGTACAGGCCAAAATCAGTGCTGCTTTTAGCATTCTTTTATCACACTTGCTGTGCGTGTACGACGCACAGCAAGTGTAATAAAAGAATGCTAAAAGCATAACAGCGTCATTTTTATAATTAGAATGTCAAATAACCCCTGTGGGCCAAGTTCCAGCGAATTTTGAGGTTTCCAAATATTGGGACACTCAATTGAGGTGGTCATTTTCGAGCACGCTAACTTTGTTTCAAAGATGAGTAAACTACTTCTTTTTGCACTCATTACAAAGTATTACTACTTTGGGTAGAGGGACGAGAGCCGCCAGTTTGGGCCGCCTCTGCGAACTGCTGGTCCTGGAACGACATGCAACAGCGCTGCAGAAAGTGGAGTTTTGCAATTTCGCAACACGCTGGCTGTGTGCCAAGCACGCGGGGCGGAGCTTCTGTGAGGCGCGTGCTTGGCACTGTCTTGACCATTCCGGTCTTTCGTCAGCCCAGGACCCACCCACCCACCCGGACAGGATTGCTGACGATACGGACGCGCGCCTCAGGATGCATTGTTTTTGCAGGAATTTTGGAAGGGCGAGGCAAGGCATGGCAGCAGTGATCAAGAGGAAATGGGCAAAGTGTGCTGTGGAATCTTATCGGAAAGGCGTAACGTAGAACAAGCTCGACTACAAGAAGAAAGATACGTCTTGCATCGTTTGTGCGCTTGAGAGCATAGCAACTCATATGTAACACTGGGTTCTACCTTTCTAGTTTTGATGTCAATCGTTCATTACAGAGAGATTGAGTCATTTGCTTCTCGGATTTGGTGTTTTGGATGTACCGGTAGATTAGGAGGTTGTTTCGGAGAAGTGTTGATTTGCATCGTTCCTTGTTACGCGTTATACGGTCCCGTTAGCAAGGGCAACATCGTTGTTTAGGTTCTCCCGCTCCTTACTCTCCTTCCATAATCTCATTGATCATTAGCCTACAAGGCGGTTGTTCAGTTGTATCAGTGGATAATTTGTGCTGGGAGCGTTCCCAATATTATGTTCATAGCTGACGAATGAACCTTCACCCCTTGCGAAAGGGCAAAACATAGGTTTTGCCGTAGTCTATCGGAGGCAAAAGACCAGTTGACCGCGAAAGGCGGCTCAAACTGGCAGCCTTCGTTCCCCTACCCCTACTACTTCTTATCTCACATTAGGATTTCCACTTCAACTAGCCTCCAAACTCTAGAACAAGAGCAAGCCAAAATCTCGTTTGTGCCATTTTTGCTTTCAATTTCTCGGACTAGAAAAGACCAATCAGGCTGAAATTACTTTTGTGAAAGTTAGGAGGATCAGTCTATCGAATATACTTGTTCTTGCCGCCTCCCCTCGCGATTCACGTTGTAGACTTAGCATGTTACCGTAATCCTATATTTTCGCAGTGCTTTCCATTTGCTTAATTAAGGAAAAACGACTATTTTTTGCTAGGAGTAACAACTTTTGAACGAAATTCCTGCTGTGAGGAGATAAAGGTTTAGCAGTAACAACCAAATAAAAAAGACAGAGATTTGAATGCTTTGAAGGTAAGCCAATGAGTCACAATCCCTAAAAAACTGTGGCAGCCCCAATTTTTCTGGGATTGTGCCCACACCCCATTAACTTGCCTCCGAAAAGAATTTTAGGGAACAAAATACATAAAGTTTGATAGCCTGAGTCTTGTAGTTTTCATAGGAATAGTTTGGCCCTGATTCATCTTCCTAACTCTGAGTAAAAGTTGGTGAAAGCGCAGCCATTGAAAGCGAAAAATGGGGTAATGAGGGTTTGGCCTGCTTCTAATTCCATGGTTTGATGGTTATTCGAAGCAGGATTCATGGTATGGGTAAATAGGGAGTAGTGTTTGTATTGAGTAAAAAGAGTTAGCTAATTCACTTTTGAATTATATTATACATGTTTGAAAATGGTCACTTCACTTGAGTATTCCATTTGCTAAAACTTGGCCCATGGTGATTATTTGACATGATAATTACGAAGATGTGCCTAAAGAAGGTGTGCCTTTACATGCCTACGGAAGGCAAATGATCATGCTGGTGGGGGGAGGAGGAGGGGGAAGTATTGAGGCAGAGAAGATAGTGGGGGGGGGGGGGTATCCGGCACTTGTGTCCACACACCTCTTGCTCGACCCTGGTAATCATTGCTTACTGCGGCGGTCTCCAAAATCGTTCCTGGTGGAATTCTAAAGTGTGGACCACCTTAGATTTGCGCATATAATCACTATTATTCCAAAAAGTTACGGCAATACTTTAGCAAAAAACTTTTGAAATGCTTCTTGCTATTTAGAAACTTTCTATCTCCCAAGAATGATGGAAAAATCAGAAATGCCGCTACTTTCACAAGAAATTGGGATTTTGAGCTGAAGCGTTTTGAACATCTGAATTATTTCCGCTTTATCATTTTTGACGGAATATGCACAAATGGCAATTCTCTCGAAAAATCTAGCTTTTTTTTGAAAAGCGTTTGAGCCACCTTTGGCATAAGAAAGATAGCGTCCAAGTAAAAAAAATTTTTTTAGAAGAAAAAACAGAGGCAGAGAAAAAGCTATGAAAGTTGGAGAAATAAATATGAATAAGTAAAAAACTAAATATTGGTGCCAGCAAAACGGCCGTATACTCTTGATTGTGTGAGTTACCAGATCATCCAAGGTGTAGTACTTTTCATCATCTTCGTCGAGTCGATGGCCGCACAGATTAGCCTCAGATTGCGCAGCACCAGCCGTGCACGCTGCTTAATCGAAAAAAAGTTGAAAAAAACAAATCGACAAACATTTGCAGGCTTTGAAGAGCTGCCAGGACGAGGATGGCGAATTAGCTGATGAAGTGGACTTTAGAAACGCGGAAGTCATCGAAACACTAGAGCAGATTGCTTCGGATAAGTGGGTAATGCTCTATGGAGTACGTTGAGTCATTACACTTATGTGACAACATTTCTCTCTATATTTCTGAAGAACTTTTTCAAGATGCTTAAATGAAGATTTGAATATTTGTGTACGAAAGCGCGATGCCTAACGTACGTAGAAGTTGCTTTAGGCATAGCAGTCGCTTTGGTAGATTGCTGTGTATACAGGGTCTCCCAAAAAGATGTGCACACTGTTTGATCTTTAATAACTCTCTTGCTTTCATGTCTTTTGCCGAGCTTGAGGTACCTTTCTGTAGAGCGAGGATAAACTTAGATTTACAGTATGGACCGAACCACTAATCACTCTTTGTTACTGTAGGATCACTTGAACATGAACTTTCAGCATATAGCGCCACTGTGAAATAAGCCTTTTGATGAAATAATTCCGAAAAAATTTAATTTGTGTAGCAAGGTTTTCACGCGTGCTGTTTTCACTACATAACTTTCCACCAGTTTTTCGAGCTTTTTTGATGGCGTATTCACATTTCTGACAAACATTGAAAAATCAGTTATTACCCTAAATCTGAAATAACTCATGAAAGAAACAGTGTATTGACGTGCAATTTTCATATTTAGAGTCATCAACTTCAATCAACCCAGTTCAAGAGTTTCTGGCTTGTTTGGCTTTCTTTCTAAAGCAAAATACTGCTTTCCATGGCTTGAAATCCTAATCGAAATTCCTACCGTAATCCTACAGTAATGAAGAGCTGCTGATAAGTCGCTCCATAATGTAAATCTAAGTTGAACCTCGCTTTAAAGAATGGTACCTCAAGCTCGGCAAAAGACATGAAAGCAAGAGAGTTATCAACAATCAAACAGTGTGCACATCTTTTTGGGACACCCTGTACGTGCACTAGCCCAAATTTACTGACGAGGGAAGTACTTTCATTGACCGTGGCTGTTTGATATGAGATGCATACCATCTGAAGCAACTTCGAACGCTGATTTCAAATCTGCTTTCCGTTTGTGCGGAACGCTCTTCTGAAGAGAGTTATGGAAGCCTGAACATCCTACTTTGGGGGCGCTCCTTGAGTTTGAGGGCGTTGCTATGTGCGTTGGTCGTGCAGTAGTGTAATGGTTGCTTGCTAACATTGAATGCGAGAGGTTGATGGTTCAAATCCGGTAGAGAGCGAGCAATTTTTTTTGAATGTGAGTTTAAAAGCACTCTAAATCGTCTGCAGACACTTACTGTAATGCCTCAGCACAAACAGGAGAGAACATCTTTTCGACTAATGACAGTGTGCATTTTTTGAGCCTTATATGGTGACAAACATGCTACGCCAAGTTCGGTCCGATTCTACTAGTAGGGAAGTCAAATAGACTTTCAGGCTCTCATTACAAGCAGTTTTGCCAGAAAATTCTTTTTCTAGGTCACTTATGCCAAGGGCATTATAGTAAGTGTCTGCAGGCGATTTAGAGTGCTTTCAAACTCACATTCAATAAGCAAAGTAGTTCGCTCTCCACCGGATTCGAACCATCAATCTCTCGCCTTCAATCAGTATAACTAACTAACCATATTACTGCACCACCAATGCATATAGCAGCGCCCTCAAACTCAAGGAGCGCTCCCAAAGTAGGATGTTCAGGCTTCCATAACTCTCTTCAGAAGAGCGTTCCGCACAAACGGAAAGCAGATTTGAAATCAGCGTTCGAAGCTGCTTTAGATGATATGCATCTAATATCAAAAGGCCACGGCCATTGATAGTACTTCCCTTGTGAGTCAGACGATATGTCCGCATTGTAGCAGTGGTATAATGCTAGCGATAACAAGCCGAGCAAAGTAAATTGACTTGCATGCGAGCAATACAGTTTCATGTCACAGCATTTCTTCTTCATGGCATACCTTTACGAGTCTGGCAAGGTATGCACGGCTTAAAGAAAAAGGATACTTGGTCGAAGTGGGATTTTCATATGAAGTGTATATGTCTTATAGAGCATGGAATGCTAATTCCAAATCTGCTTTCCTCAAAAGCGCTTCTGAGAGGGGAGTTCTGGAGAATTTTTTTGGTAAAAATTCAGTGGTTTGGCTGAGGTAAAAACAAGTGTGTAGATCTTCCCGGCCCTTGAAAGGAGGAATGACTGACTAGAGCCTATTAGATTGAAGGTGGTAATGCATAAAAAGCCCTGGTAGTGATCATAGCCCCATTGGAGCTCATAGACTTCACTTTGAACGATTTCATGGTAGCCGCGTGTTCGAATCTTTCCTCCAAAAAATTCCCATAACTTCCCTCCCGGAAGCGTTTTGCGGGTATGGAAAGAGGGTTTGGAATCAGCTTCCTAAGCTCTATAAGACAGCGTACATTTCATAATGAAACGCCACTTCGATCAAGTATCCTTCCCTTGTTAAAGGAAGTGCGGACCATATCGGCACAGACGGAGCTGCACTATTGCATTTCCTAAAATTTGAAGTACATACACATTCGCTTTCTACTATTGAAAGAAATAATTATCTGCTATCTCTCCTATCCGAAGGCTGCATGCATTATAATACGTGTAATAGAAAGAAAAATTGCTTTAGTCTTGATAATGTTACGATTTTTTGCGCGTAATTAGAGACAAAAAAACTAATGAAATACCCAAAAAAAGACTCGAACCTTGACCTTACCCGATATGACCACAAACACTTGCTACTCAGTCGAGCAGCCATGCTGTGTGAAGCAATCCGCGTGCACATGAAGGCAGTGTCCGGGCAAAAACTCGATTTTGAGAATTTGTGCTTATACGGGCCTATTCGCCATGCTGAATCCGAAAGTCCACACTGGAAAACGCGAAAACAGCAAAAAGGGGCTCTAGCGCAGGAGGGAAATAGCAAGCGGGCGGCGTCCTTCCCAGTGTGAATTCACGCTCCAGCTTCCGAAGCGGTCTTCTCAGTTCCGCTAGCCATCCTAACATCGCTAATGGCCAAGTGCCAATGATCACCGGAAAGCACAAAGCACCGCACAAACTTTCAAAATCGAGTTTTTTGCTCGGACACTGCCTTTAACTTGATTGAGCTATCTTGAGAAAATCAACCCATGAGCTAGTCCAGAAAGCATTCAGAGCTGAACGCTTCTGATAGATGTTTATAAAATGGACTACGTTTTGAGTATTGAAAGAATTTTAGGTTTGGTTTGATGAAGTCATGCATGAAATTAAGGTGATTATATGTACTGATCACAATATATTTCAGCAACACGACTTCTGCAAAAATATATGTCAATGAAAGAGATTCTGAGCTCATAACAAAGAGTAAACGAGTTCGCCTTATCACACTTAAAGGAACGACACGATTTTTCTTGAATGTGGTTGGTTCTGCGGGAATGAACGAAGTTCTCGCGGACGTATATGGTGTCTGTCGAAGAAAAAGTGAGTTTACCATAGGTTGTTAATGGTTAAAAGAATTAAGATTTAGCTTTTTGCTTTTTTTGCAGGAGACTGTGAGGATGTATACTGTCACCTCAATGATTACGATACGCTCGGTGTAAGCAGCTACTTGGTAATGCCTAGAATCCGCCCGAAGATGTTGATTGGAGAGAAGCTTCGGTAAGCTTTACATTTTTTAAAAGTAAGGCTCTTTAAAATATCTTTTGCAGAATTCCTTGTGCAAACGGAGAATCCAAATCTGTTGAAGTGACTTGTGGTGAAAAAGGTGCTTTGGAACCGCAAGAGATTGGCAGCATTTGTGGAGAAGACCGTAATACTTTTGATATTATTAAAATTTGCAAAAGTCCACTCTGAACGAAACACCTGCATTTCATCTTTTTGGCATGAAAGCACTAGCCCGCACTAGAACGAATGTTTCAACATTTATATCAGTCCGTACAATGAGTATTACAGATTTTCTTGCATTATATTAGGTTGTCCCGAAAGTTTTGTCCGTTTTTTCAACCTATCATAAAAATACGTGGAACAAAGATAGGGAAACGCTCTAAGCACTATCCGACGCATCTTTTCCTTCTCTTTCTAATGTCATACTTCCATGCCGATTACTCTTTTGCTCACTGAGATAAACGCCCAAATTTCGAACCCATGGTTTTTACTATGTCCAAGTTTGGCAATTTTTCACAATCTTTATTGACTTTTGGTAAGCAAAGGGCAATGTAATGCAATTATTTGGCCTATCTAGCTGGCTTTTCAATAATTTTAAAGATAATTTTTTCAAAAGTCTTCACTTTTGCGAAGTTCTTTAATACAGAAACTCCTCGAACACTAACAAATCATCGAATTTTGAAGCTTTCAAAAACCGATTACGATTACTCACTATTTTTACGAAGCAAATGAGCGTTTACCGTTTCGAAATTTAAGATTTTGCATTTTACATGCACACGTTGGGGTGGGGGTCAAATTCAAGAATTATGAAAATTTTATCGCCAAAGACCCCGCAAATTGGAGAGAAAATGCACTCACTGAAAAGAGGAGGAAAAGCTGCATCGAATAACACCTTGGTTGTGCGCCGTTTCATAATCTCTGGCTTTTGACTCACCAAAAGTGGAATTTGATAGCATCAGAAAAATAATTCTAAAAAATTTTCTGCGGCATCTATTTAAAATTTTTTTTGAATAAATGCCGCAAAATTGCATTATATTGCTCTTTGTTTGTTTTATCTAAATGTTGCCAAAGCTTTCCCGAAAGTCGAAAATAAAGATTGTGAAAAATTGCCAAACTTGGACATAGTAAAAACCATGGGTTCGAAATTTGGGCGTTTATCTCAGTGAGCAAAAGAGTAATCGGCATGGAAGTATGAAATTAGAAAGAGAAGGAAAAGATGCGTCGGATAGTACTCAAAGCGTTTCCCTATCTTCGTTCCACGCGTTTTTATGATAAGTTGAAAAAACGGACAAAACTTTCGGGACAACCTAATATATGGAATCTTAGGACGATCTACCACTTTTGAGGTTGCAAAGGTCAGATATTCAAAGTATCCCAAACATATCCAATCACTCTTGCCTATAAGACAATCACAATGTAATGGTCAGTACAAAAAAGGCTGCTACGACATTACATTCCACCAAAAAATTTTCTTGCAAATCATGGGAAACGCTTGGTCTTGTCTAATAATTCACAGAAATTATCCGCATGGATTCATAGTCGTATTCAAAACAAATGCTTCGATATGCAGCCTGTGCAAGTATTGAAATGTATGTTTGTTGCAGATGCCCGGCGTGACCTCCCAACTTCGGCAACATATAGTCCCCTACTCAGAAACTTTAGAGATTCAACTTTTGAACCATTTGCTGGGATTTCATAGATATCATTCAAACGATGTGCTAAGGAATTCTCTGTTCCCCTTTCCCATTTTTCAATATTACCCTTTTTATGCGGAGAGGTCCTGGGTATCCAAAAAGAAGCAATCATTGCTGTCATCCCAAAGATCAACACACTCCAAACTGTATCTGATTTTAAACCAATAAGAATCAATTTCTGTTTCGTGTAAGATCCTGGAAAAGATAATTCTCATAAAGTTTTAGCTTGGTTCAAATAATACAAAATGATTGTTCCAGAGCAATGGGTTGGTCTGTGAAGCATCCACTGTCACCCAGCCAATCAATTTCACTCACGATTGAATTAGTTCTACTCTTGAGAGAGAAAGTTGACGTTATTTACTTCGATTTATCCAAAGCTTTTGATCACATAGGTCATGACAATCCACTATACAAGATTAAGCATTATGGGATTAGAGGATCGCTTTTGGATTAGCAGAGATCCTACCCAAAATGCAGACAAATGACAATTCGAACTGACAGAGAATGCGCTGAACGTCTTGTTTGCATTAGTGGTCTTCCGCAGGGAGGTGCTTTGTCGCTTCATTCACTCTTTATACAGCTGAGCTGGAACAGTGAATTATAGTGAACTAAGAACTCATCCCAATGTAAAACTCCTCATGTGGAAGATATTAATTTACATGGACATCACAACGATAGTAATTGCAGCGAGGTTGCAAAAGCTCCGCAACATTTAGGGCCGCATGCACTAACACCTCCGCGGAGAGGGGATCGCAGCTTGAAATAAAGCTTTATATTTTGAAACTCCAGATACCTGGATTTCACGTTGTGTACCTATCCGTAAGTATTCCTACTACCCTTCACTATGAACATGTTGAAGAGGAGCGAAAAGCCGTACGAACCGCATTTTCCAGCTTTGGTATGATCCCTGATGATCCCCGGCGCTTTTCTTTAATGTCATTTTTCTTTCTCCGAAGTTAACGAAAAGCCTCCAAAGTTGTGCAGATTATCCAACTCGACAGTGCTAAGAATGTTCCTGATAAGAACAAGTGATGTTTTGAAGTCATGAAATTTTCGATGATCCACAGGTCAAAATTTGAGGTTTACCAGAAAATTCGCCCTTTCAAAAACACATTTGTTCTCATCAGCAACATGCTTAGCAATGTCGTGTTAGATGTTCAGTACAACTTTAGAAGGTTTTCGTTAACTTCGGAGAAAGAAAAATGACTTTAAAGAAAAGCGCCGGGGATCATCGGGGATCATACAAAAGCTGGAAAATGCGGTTCGTACAGCTTCTCGCTCCTTTTCAACATGTTCATAGTGAAGGGTAGTAGGAATACTTACGGATAGGTACACAACGCAAAATCCGGGTATCTGGAGTTTCGAAATATAAAGCTTCCTTTTAAGCTGCGATCCCCTCCCCAACGGGGAGGTTAGTGCATGCGGCCCTTAGTCTCATAGTCATACCTTCGATAGTCAAGAGACAGAGCCTAGAAAGTGATAGTTGTTTGAGTTCTTGCCCCCTATAGAAAGTGAAGGTTGTTTTAGTAAAAATAGATGGAAATTTAGAGATCTGAATTGAACCACGAAACTTGAAAAATTCATATAAAACAGAGGCTGACACATCACCAATTTTAAAACCTTATCTTGGTAGTTTACTACGCATATTTTTGTCTTCAGAATTGCCGGTTAAATTGGGTGGCAACAGGAACAAAGTTCTTTTCTAATTGAACAAAAAAACGTTAGCTGTGGCGGTAGTTGGGGGACCGAAAGAAGGCAAACTTGTCAACAACTGAACTGAACATGTTAAACATGTCTGAAAAGTTATGCTGCACATCGACGCCAATCTGATTTTTGACGCCTCCTTTGAATTTTCACCCCTGCATGGTCGTTTCGTATCCTGCGACGTTGTCTGGATTCTTCCGCTCATCATTCTGAGCAAGTAACGTCCAAGCTGGAGAAAATTCGTTGCAAAAGCATTGAAAAAGAACAAGGTAAAGAAAAACGCACTTTTTGGTAATTTTCACAGAAAAAAAACCGGCATAAGCAAAGAAGTAAGCTCGGCGACGTTGTCTACATCATAGACAGAAACAAGACCTATCGAATACACAAAAAACCGAGTGAAAAGAGTTGAACTGAAGAAAAAACAAGAGGTTTTCGAAAATTCCGTTTTTCCTATATTTCTCGTTTAAATCATAAAAAGGAGTCTTGCGACGTTGTCAGCGTGAAAATAAAGATCAAGAGCTTCAATATGATATATAGATTGTCGAAATTGGGCTCCCAACAACGAAGAAAAGGGTACCAGAGCCAAATGCCCCGCGCCCCGCTTTTGGGGTAGCGAGGTAGCGCGCAAGTCGCGGAGACGCAGACGAGCAGCGGAGACAGACCAGAGCCGGCGGGGCATTTGGCTCTGGTCATTGATCTCCGCGGGATCATAACGAAACCCTGTAACATTATATATCGTTGTGATCCTCATGAGACGTCCAGGAGCACTGACAACGTCGCGGGTCTTGAAAATCACTCCATAACGAGATAGACCAGCATTTAAGTAGCGACTCTCTGCGCAATATTTGAGCGCAGTTTCTCGTTTCTACTGAACTCCAGCGGCTTTCATGAACTTCCAACGCTGAATCGAAGTCTAGAGGAAGATTAATTGAGAAATTTTGCTCCAGTTCCTCATTGAATTTTTGAATAAAAGTCTTTTTGGCAAAAAAGGGCCATAAAAACGTAATTCTTCGGTTTTTTGAGCTTCTTTTGAAGGTCACTGCTATATTTACCTCGTTCACATCTCTCCCTATATGGGTATGTCATTAGTTATGCCATGATATCCGGGGCTTCGCCCCGGATGACTTCCCTCTAAGTGAAGGTTGGGTTCTATCATGACGCTCAAAGTGAAGGTCACCAGAGTACGTGGCTCTATGTATCTTAAATGTGTTATGAAAATGTGCAGAGGACCTGTTTTTACTTGTAAATAATTAAAATATTTTTTAAAAAATTTCAAAAATTCAAATTAGCCTTGTAAAAAAATAATTCCCCCCCCCCCGAGCCGAAATCCTGGGTACGCCACTGCTCTGTCAATATTGCTTATGGCAGCTTTTTTCAATATCGGCGACGATATGCACATTATGAGTATGGTGGAGCTTCTCTTATCAGCAAAACATCAATCAGAGATCTAGGAGTTATGATAATTCCAAATCGAAGCCAGATCTACAGATAACCGTCACCTTCCGAGCATTGTCCGTTTGATATACAATTTTCCAAAACATCTAAACTGTGGATTCAAGAAATCTAGCTCTTGTTATTCCTGTGATCAAATACTCATGATAAGTATAGAGCCCCTCCTTGAGGAAACGCATCCTAGCCTGGGAAACTGTTCAGGAAACCTTTACGAGACTACTATTTTGTCGTTGTTTTCCCAGCTATGCACATCTCAATCACTTCCAACTTACGAACGGCGTTTGAAAACACTTCATCTTGAACGTTCCTCATATTGTACAATTCTGCACGATCTTGTAG